CTCATTGTGGAGGAGACTTGCATGCATACTGTCGGTGTCTAAACTTCAAGTGAAAATCCTTTATCTTGAGTGACCCCTTCAGATGGAGGAGTTCTAGATTTGGATGGAGGATTTGGCCTACATCCTGCGAGAGGAGGTGTCGAGTCAACTGTAGGGTGATTGGTGGACAGACTGGCATGTGCTTGAGATATGGGTACCAAGTCTGTCATGGCCACGCTGAGGCTATGAGAATGACTGTGGCTTGTTCCACCTGTATTTTGTGAAGCACTTTGAACAATAAAGGCATTTAACAAGGGTACATCCCATCTAATGAGGAAGGCTTCCCCAAAGACAGATGACCCAGACCTACTCTTGAGCAGAACCGATTCTGAAGGGGGCCACCTGCCCTGTACGGTGTGGGGCTGCAGCTGTGCTCCCCAATCACACAGGGGGTATTTGTTGTGAGTATCAAGGATGGACTGCGCACTTCCTTTGAGGATAGCAGACCTGGTCATTTCTGAGTCTCCAGTAATGGGTGCCGGATGCTGCAGGGAACAGTGGGGACTCAGGGATTGGTGTGTGCCTAGCGCTAGCCTGCACAGGGAAAGTGAGGTCTGCAGGTGGCCACAAGCTGTTGATTTCAGGGAGCTGAGCTACAACAGCCACAGATGAGACTGCTCCTTGCTAAGGGTAGATAATGGGCCTCAAATTTGGGGGCAGATTAATAGTATCTGCTAAAGCTCTTCAGCTGCAGAAGCTACTGCACATGCTGAGGCTGGGAGACATTACTGCAGCTCCAGAACGACACTGGCAAGAGGAATGATGGGGATGTGTGGAGGGAGCTTATTTCATTGAGCTGCTCTTCCCAGTTAACCTAAATTCCTTTTCTCACCAGCCGTGTTGCACTGTCAGACCTTTCCCAGGGTCAGCCAGTTTACACAGCTTCATGTGCACTGGAGTCACATAAACTGGGCTCAGACTTAGGCTTCTTAACAGTAAGCAATAAGTAAAACATGCATATAAATACTGAAAAATGCAAAACCAAGGACTGGAAAGAGAAGACAGCCTGCTTAGAACTGAATCCTTCCATACTAGGAGATAAGGGGCAGCAGAATTTCCCCCACAGTTTCTGAGGAGACCCTCCCCAAGTCAGTTTATAGAGAAGTGTCTTCATGAGCTGTGTAGATTTTACACAGAACAGGCTGGCTGACAGAAAAGAGCAGAATTCCATGCAATCTGGCTCGCTCAGACCTCTGCTTCCTGGCCAGTCTACTGCTTTCCAGTTTCTTTCTAGTTGTCTGTTTGGGGCTCTTCCATCCCCAGTACTTCAATTGCTTTTGGCCATTTGTCTGATCTCTCCAGTCTCCTGGGTCTCAGTCTCTCTTTCTCATTATCTTCCTTTTGTCACCTTCAGAATCCTGCAGCTAATATTACTTACCCAAAACCAGTGAGCTCTGTTTTTGTTTTCCTAGTAAGCTACATTTCTATGGAATATGCAGTAGGAGGGCACAATCCTAAAAGTAGAACCTGTTCATTACCAAGGCCTTTCCCAAAAAGGAATCTCATTCCATCCATAAACTAAGACTCCATTTAAGAATTGCTGATTTACACATATTTACAAGGCTGCTGCAGGTAGATTAGACACTCATTTTCTTTCACAAAAATCATTCTAAGAGTCTTTATATACTTTTCTCTGAACAGTGAAACTGGCCAACTTAGGGAAATTGTAAAATCTTTAATATCAGAGCTACCATTTGATTCTCAAGGGAAAAAGGAACCAAAAAAGAGGCCAGGTCCCCTCCAAATGCCTTTTATGTTGCTTTGTCACAGTGTTATCTTGTTTTACAAGTGGTCTGTTTATGAGAATGCCATGAAGAAAAATGTTCATTTAAGTTCCATAATCACATAGGGCTACTTTGTAAGCCAGCAGAATACAGCCTCAGCAGCTGCTTGCCCACAAAACTTTACAATTGTGGAGACTAATTAAGATTCTTCAGAGGAAGTCCCTTCTCTTTGCAGAATGCCTTATTAGATATTCTGTACCTCCCTTCTTCAGAGCAGAATGTCTGACTGTGCCTGGTCTAAGTTTATGGCTTATGAATTACCAATTGATTCCAAAATATCACTGCTCTTTTCTGTGTCTGAATAAAATTGTTTCCTTTACAGGAAACAAAAAGTAGCATTCTGCAATTAACTACCTAAAGTACAGCTATTTAATTATGTTAGACTGAACTTTTAATTAGACAGTACAATACTTTCTAACTCATCTTCTCTACCAAATGCTGTTTGGATTTGCATGTCATAATGCAGAGGATGCAATAAAGGGGGGGGATTAATCATGGCTTTCAGTTGATGGTGGCTAAAGTTCAGGACAGTCTTGCCAGTTCGTAAGATGATTAAATTCAAGAGATTTTTTTAAAAATCAACAGAAGGACACGTCAAGTCAATTTGAAAAACTATTTTATTTACAAGATTGGATACATTTATTAAAGTACAGGAACTCCTCACTTAACATTGTAGTTATGTTCCCGAAAAATGCGATGTTAAACGAAACGATGTTAAGCGAATCCAATTTCCCCATAAGACTTAATGTAAATGAGGGGGTTACATAGATGTGTCACATGTTTTAAATGAAAAACTTAATACTGGTACACAGTGATGATGATTGTGAAGCTCGGTTGAAGTGGAGGAGTCAGAGGGTGGGATATTTCCCAGGGAATGCCTTACTGCTAAATGATGAATTATCAATTGGCTGAGCCCTCAAGGATTAACTCTCACACTCTACAAGGCAGCAGGAAAGGAGGGAGGGCAGAGACAGAGAGACACACCCTGTGTGTGTTTCAGAGGTAGAGTTGTGCATTTCCCCTTTAAGTATGAAGACTGAGGTCAGAAGTACATTGCCTTGTTAATTAGACCAGCAAGCTGAGACCCCACTGCAGCTGCTGCCTAAGGCAGCAGCTCCCTCTGTCCCTGTGTCCCCCCTGCTCTATGGAAGATGGGGTAAGCAGGGTGCAGGAGCAGGGGGGAGGGGGACATCCTGACATTAGGCCCCCTCTTTTTCCCCTCCCCCACAGCAAGCAGGAGTCTCAGGGAGCAGCTCCAAGGCAGAGGGCAGGAGGAGCACATGGCAGTGGCAGGAGGGACAGCTGAACTGCCGGCAATTGATAGCCTACTGAGCAGCTGCTGCACAGGGAAATTAGAGGAGCAGATAGGGGGGCTGGTTCCAACCACACACCAGCTAGCTGCAAGGGGCTGCTCTTCCTGCAAGTAGTGGACAAAGTAGGCAGCTGCCAAATGACATCAGAAGGGAGCATTGCACAACTTTAAAGGAGCATGTTCCCTAATTGATCAGCAACGTTAACAGGGACGACTTTAAGTGAGGAGTTCCTGTAGTCTTTATCTGTGCCCAGTTCTCTGCATTGATCCATGGTAACTACAGCAAAATTTCCTCAATACCAAGCTTGGGCTATTCTAAATGTCACTTTTTAGTGATACTATATACAGCACCTCCATGAGGCATGCAACTATTGCTCATGGGACAAAACTTGAGTTTGTAAAACAAGTTGACACCACTACACAGCCACAGTGGGGATACAGTCTCCAAGTCTGAAAAGTTTGGTATACTAATGTCTCCAGTTTTAATAAAAAAAATCAAGTTTATATTCTCACTTTTATGACTATTCACTTTTATGCATTTTTATTTCTATTTTGGGCTCTATACATTAGATAAAACTTTTATAAAAATGTAAATAGTTACCTTTACCTTTTCCACTGCTCAGCTTTCATCAGTTTGTGTTCTGTTCCATACTGACTTTGAAATACTCAGTGTAAAAATAAAGACCTTAAATTTAAAAGGTATGCCAATTTCAGGAAGCAGCAAGGCAAGTGATTAATCCTAGACATGGAAGACACCATTTGCTACAAGTTTATTTCTATCACTAGGGTTTGAAAAGGAAGCAAGAGATGTTAAATATGTAAACAAACTGCCATGGTTCTAATGTGCAAAACTTCTAGCTGGTGTGCTTGTCCTTTGCCATCAAGTAGATCAGTTTTATTTTTCTGTTGATTGCAGGATGTGTTTAACTCTTGCCACATTATCTGGATTTTTTGGGAAGTATTTCCAGCTCCCCAAACTAAAAATTAGCAACTTAAAGCTTTCATATCACTTGCTGCACAAAAGATATACTCTATTATATAATAACAAATACTTAATTCTCTGGGAATATAATGTTACATTCCCCATGGTTAAAAGAGGATATTCAAAAGAGGTATTTTCTTTCTTTGATTACCTCAACACTTAGACAACATGATCTGTAATTAAACAATGCTATTCAGAGGAAATTGATTTTTTTTAAAATTGGGATTTGAATAAATTATAACAAATTTCAACTTCATTTATATTTCCTACTAGAATGATGTGTCTCAGAACAAGTATCAAAAAAAGAAATTATACTTTTAAATCTCAACAGGAGGTTGAAAATGCAACACTGATTTATAGAAATCACGATTCTCACCCAAGTTATTTTGCAACAAACCGCAAGACTTCACCACTACCACAATAAAAATAAAGTGAGAAAACCACAAGATTAGTCGTCCCTTCTTTTATCTACAAAGACTTTTTCAAGCAAGCTTTCTGCTGCTGGAATTCTCACCTTGAACATATAAAAGAGATCAAAGGCCAAATGGGATAATTTCACCACTTGTCTGTCTTCCTTTTGTGGGCAGGTGGTATGTGTTTGGAGCATATCAAACATTAGGACAAAAATACTTGTGTGGAATACTTATAAATATTTGCAAATTTAAACCTATAAATTACCCATCTTTGTCATACAATCCAACTACTGTTCAGGGAAAAGGGGGATTCTTAAAAGTTTCAGTTAGACACTATTTTTAACCACAGCCCAATGACTTTGCTGCAGGAAATAACATTTCAGGCAGTCAGACACAACTGAATATTTGGGAGTGTTTGCAAAATTCAACAGGGGACTATGTCATCCAAATTTGGACTGGCAAACTCCAAACTAGCTAATAGTTTTCTTTATTGAGATTAGACATAACAAATATCAGGTACAGCAGTTAGTCTAAAAAAATACATTTAAAAATCTTCAGTCGACCATGCTCCCTATAACAAAAATCTTCCAAAACCAATTTATTTTACAAATTAATCTACATTATTAATGTAAAAAGAAATTCTCAAATTTAGCATTATGTCATTATTTCCAACAAACATCTATTGGAACATGTTTCCATTATTTGCAAATGTTAGAATCTGTAATACATTTTTCTAATGTATCCTGTACATATTAAATAACCTAAAAGGCTCCTCTTGTAGTGCATTAACAATTTAGCAAGCACACAGTATTTTTCCAGTACCATTTGCATTACAATTCCTTGCCTGCAAATGTAATTAACATCTAAAAAAGTGCACCTGTTTAGTTTTTCGAGGAAACCTAGACCTAGACCTCCACTGGAAGGGTTACACTACCTGTAGCTAATCTACCCATGATTAGAAATGTGCAACTAGAAGGTACTTTGAGACTATACAACAACTGAATTATGTACATAAGCCAAAGGTCATTCAGTCTTTAGCCTGTATTTACATCCAAAAATGATCTCTACCACAGGATCATACCAAGAACTCAGTACAGCATTAGATAATGATGGTATTTAATTAGAACTGTTAACTGCAATTCAGTATAGCACAAAATGTAGCCCAAGAAATACCCTGAAAAATGGATGTGTGTATTAAATAAAACTCTAGTATGTCACAGAACAAATCCTCTGCTGGATATTCTTACAAGTTCAGTGTTTGAAATAATAGGGTCCTGCTCTATCAAGCAACTAGAAGATCCAGCAAGGATGCAATGTAATACAGTTTTTTTAAAAAAAAGCAAGCCTCAAATGAGGGATTATTTGAATTACTGTAAACCACACTGGCCACTGTTAGCACTAGTTTAAAGACAGCCACACTACATGCAGAATCCCTGCTGACAGGATCCACACAGGTTTCAGTACATAAGCATAGGATGAAATTTTATTGTCACTACAAGTATCAAAAAACATTTTTGAAGCCAGTTGATAGGGTTTTCCTCACCCTACCAAGTGGTGAACCTTTTAAAAAAAATCCATTCCAGATTATCCAGTCTGAGATTAATTTTAGCTTCTCACCAAGAAATCCAGTGTATATGCTCGTACTAGAATTGCAATTTGTAATTATTAAAACAGGCAGAGTACAAACTTTGAAATATTCGCAATGTAATAAGTGAATTATAAAGAAATTCAAAATTTTATCATTAACTTGCATGAATAGCAATTAAATCGGTCAAACACTCCTCCCGTTTCTTCCCTCTCATCCTACTGAAAAGTGCAAAATTGAGCTGTCGCTTGGTCCACAAACACAATACATCGTGTACACTGAGAGATTTGACTCCTGATGGAAATCTGTTGCCAACTCATCACTTCAGTTTTAACTCTGAGAAAACTTCAACATCCAAAGATGGAATTCAGTTCCAGCAAAATTAATTCTACAATCTGATTCTGGTACACAGTGTGGACTGCTATGTTACCAGTCTCTTTCTCTGGCTTTAACAGAGTTGGTCCAAAAACTATTGCTACGCTTTGATAAGTCATTCGGTTCTTTTCTCCATTTTCTACAACTCTGGGGAAAAAAAGAAGAAAATATGCTTTTAAAATAAATTCATCGATGTGAGAGAATAATGTGTTAACAGAGAAGAGAAACAAAACCAAATCAGAAAAGGAGTACTTGTGGCACCTTAGAGACTAACCAATTTATTTGAGCATGAGCTTTCGTGAGCTACAGCTCACTTCATCCGTGAGCTGTAGCTCACGAAAGCTCATGCTCAAATAAATTGGTTAGTCTCTAAGGTGCCACAAGTACTCCTTTTCTTTTTGCGAATACAGACTAACACAGCTGTTACTCTGAAACCAAATCAGTAATTCCTCATAATATTTATTCCATATTTACTGTCATTCATGAAACATGCCACTATTGTAATCATTCTAATCATTTAAAATATATTTGACACTAGCTCTGTCCCTATAATCTAAAGTTTAGCAGCTAAAAGCACAACTAATAAAAACACTGTCCAAAAGTTGGGTTTGCTTCTCCATAAGCTTGTATAAACACAAACAAGTTTTTTGCTTTGATGAAGCACAACGAACATCAAAGGAAACACGCTTAGAACCTTCCCCCAGGACTTTTAATGTTTGAACACTCAGCTTTAAGAAAGGTGACTAGATGTCCTGATTTCATAGGGAGAGTCCCAATATGTCTCATATAGGTGCCTATTACTCCACACCCCATCCTGATTTTTCACACTTGCTATCTGGTCACCATATCTTTAAGGGAGCTCTGCAGTACATTAAGACTTTTTCCTCCTCCTCACCTCTTGAGGTGTCTAAAAAGTATCTGCATGGTATCCTGATTTGGCTTTGGCAACTGTTTAATTAAATCTTTGACAGCACGAACACGCTGTCTTGCTTCTTGTTCTGGAAGAGATAAAAGGCAGATAAACCATAAATTCAATATTTTTATTGAAAATTTTGGTAGCATATAACTTACCGAAAACTGAATGAAGCACACAATTTTACAGTGCTGATATTAAGTAACACATTGCCACCTGGTGGCCACATTGAATATTACAGATAATCTGAAGGTAGTAACACCTTAGAGACAAGATGGGTGAGATATCTTTTACTGCAATGGCTCTCAACCTTTCCAGACTACTGCTCCCCTTTCAGGAGTCTGATTGTCTTGTGTACCCTAAGTTTCACCTCAAGTAAAAACTACTTGCTTACAAATATCAGATATAAAAATACAAAAGCGTCACAGGACACTATTACTGAAAAATTGCTTACTTTCTCATTTTTATAAAATAAATCAACTGGAATATAAATATTGAACTTACATTTCAATGTATACTATACAGAGTAGAACAAACAAGTCATTATCTGTATGAAACTTCAGTTTGTACTGACTTTGCTAGTGCTTTTTATGTAATCTATTGTACAACGAGGCAAATATCTAGATGAGTTGATATACCCCCTGGAAAACCTCTGCATGCCCCCAGTGGTACACAAAATCCCTGGTTGAGAGCCACTGTTTTATTGGACTAACTTCTGTTGATGAGAGAGACAAGTTTTTGAGCTTACACAGAGCTCTTCTTCATGTCTGGAAAACGTACACAGTTTCATAAATAAATACAACGTGGAACAGAATGTTTAGCATAAATAGTTAACACATTCCAAGGACCATTCACCCACCTTGTCTTTAACATCCTGGGACTGAGAGCTACACCACGACTGTATATAAGGTAACACCTTTACAAAATTTCATAATTTCTCCTTTTTAAACAGTGAAAAGGAGAAAATATTACAATTAAGTGTACTGTGCATATTTAAATATTTATGATTTATGAAAATTCTGTGCATGCTTTATGGACTTACTAATTGCATTGACGAAGTCATTGAAATGATTATATGTGAAGAGTGGTTCTGGCAGTTCTCTGAAAAACATTTTTAGAGCTCCTGTGATGACATGTATATCTTCCCATTTACTGTCATTCAAGTCCAATTTCTCATCTGAAAGAAAACATGAATGATTACTATAATCTAGCAGGTGTTTATCATTAATTACTTATTTCCTACACAAGTTGAAGAACAATGGGGTGGGATTCTTATTACCCAGTGTGAAGGGGCCAGAGGAAACAGTTACTTACTATAACTGTGGTTCTTCAAGATGTGATTCAGACATGTATTCCGCTTAGGTGTGTGCATGTAATCCACGTGTCTAACAGGGAGATCTCTCTTTAAGGGTATGTCTACACTGGAAACTTCAAAGCGCTGTCCTGGGAATGCTCCCGCGGCGGCGCTTTGAAGTGTCAGTGTGGTCACATGCAAACACTAGGAGAGAACTCCCCCAGCGCTCCGCTCCCAGCGCTTGGAGCCTGTCTACACTAGTGCTTTAAAGTGCTCAGATTTGCTGCGCTCAGAGGGGTGATTTTTCACCCCCCTGAGCCAGCAAGTTAGAGCGCTATAAAATGTAAGTGTAGACATACCCTAAGAAATCTATTGGAAGGTGAGAAGGAATAAATTGTATCTGTCATTGTTGCTAGGCAGATGCACAATTAGCACTCCACATCCAGAAGTTTCTGGAATTGGGTGTGGTAGTTTTGGATATGCTCAATAGGTTCCCTATTGCTGGACTGATTTCTGCATCTCCAGGTGCTTTTCTGCATCTCCAGGCACTGGAGAAGGGCACCCAAAGGTTACAATGCACACCCAGAATGCCAGAGCCAGATAATTTTGCCTAGCAGTACCCGTGGAGGGATGGTGCTCACACCTTCTTGCTGTAGCTCTTCCCCTAGCTATACGAGGCAGCAGTGCCCAAACCCCCATCAGTTTCTTCACACTGAGCACCTAGAGCGCAGTGCAGAGACGATGGAGGGTAGATCATGGAATAAAGGTCTGCATCACATCTTGAAGAACCACAGTTACAATAAGTAACCATTTCTTCTTCTTTGAGTAGATGCAGCCATGTATTCCACTTACATGACTCACAAGCAGTATCCCTGGGATTGCCTGACCAAATATTTGCATCCTCTGGAAGATGCAGTAACTGATCGTGTAGAATGAGCTTGCACATACTGAGGAGGCATAGCTGAAGCTATTTTATATGCAGTCGATACAAGATGTTATCTATTTAGAGATCATTTGTGAAAAGATGACTTGACATATCATACGATCTACATATGACACATAGGTGAGGCGAAGCACAAAATACTTTACTTCTGTCCAGACAGAAGGCTAGACATCACCTGAATGGAGATGAATGCGGATTAGAAAAAAACACAGGTAAATATACCACCTGGTTCAAATGAAAAGCAAATTTTTGTCTAAAGTCGTTTGTCTTTGGAGAATTGTGTATAAGGAGGCTCTGCCATCACAGCCTGCAACTCTCACACTCTTCTTGTGGATGTTATTGCTACCAGGAATGTAGTTTTCTGACACAAAAGCAGAAAGGGACAAGATGCCAGGAGCACAAATGGAGGTCCCATTAAAGTTGCTAGGACTGAGTTAAGAGACCACAGAGGCAATGGCTCTCAGACCAGAGGATGGAGATGTAAAAGCCCTTTTAAGCATCTTGCCACAATGGCAATGGAGAGGACTGATCTTCCTGAATGGGTGGGATGAAATGCCAATATAGCTGCCAGATGCACTTTCAATGAATTAAGTGCAAGACCTGACAACCGAAGGTGCAGCAGATATTCTCAAAAAGAAAAGGAGTACTTGTGGCACCTTAGAGACTAACCAATTTATTTGAGCATGAGCTTTCGTGAGCCACAGCTCACTTCATCATCTGATGAAGTGAGCTGTGGCTCACGAAAGCTCATGCTCAAATAAATTGGTTAGTCTCTAAGGTGCCACAAGTACTCCTTTTCTTTTTGCGAATACAGACTGACACGGCTGTTCCTCTGAAACCAGATATTCTCAGAATCCAAGGGCAACCTCTGATTTGACAAGGGCCATGGTGCCAAAGCAGACCGCATGGCCTGCTCAAGCAGAGGCTGCTTCAGATGAAAATCCCTCACCACTTGAGAGTCTATTTGGTGAGCAACCTGCAAATCAAACACCACTCATTAACACGGGCTTTGCCTAGGCACAACAAGCACCGTGTGTGGGGATCGTTGTTGGGGATCACTTCCCCACATAACAGACAATGTTTAAACCCTGGTGATGCCATCACTAGGGAAATAGCTAAATTACAGCTAACTAACACTAAATCTAATGAACTACATACTTTAGAAGAAAATCACTAAAAATAGAGGGATTATGCGGTGAAAACCACAACAGAGCTCCAACAACAGGCTGTGAGAAGGAACAGAGGGGGGGGTGGAGTGGCGCCACCTCATTCAGCCAGGGGAGGGGCTATGGCAACAAGGTGCAAGCACCACCCTTCTACAGGTTCTACTAGGCAAAAGGTCTCTGGTTCCAGTGCCCTGGGCATGCATGCACCTAAGTGGAATACATGGCTGCATCTACTCGAACAAAAATGGGGAGAAGAGTTGGAGCAGTGCAAAGGGGTTTTAAGAGCTCCACATTTGTCTGGGGGAGTATTCTCCCAGCTCAGGCATTGTGGAAGACACCTGAAAGACTTCATTCTGATGAACCGTTGTAAGCCCTGGTGTAAGATCTCAGCTGTGTGGAGATTCTGGGCAGCACTGAGCCCATAAGGCAGCCCTAGGTAGGTTGCTGTAACTCAGACAAGCCCACTGGTTTATCTAAGTTATAAAAAGAGCCGCTTCAGACTCCAGAGCAGCAAAGAATTGGGGGGGCAAAGGTAGCTTAAAGCTACTTTAGAGTCCCCTCTCCCTCTAGGCCAGGGGTGGGCAAACTTTCTGGGCCAAAGGCCATATCTGGGTATGAAAATTGTATGGAGGGCCATGAATGCTCACGAGATTGGGGGTTGGTGTGGGAGGGGGTGAGGGCTTCAGCTGGGGGTGGAGGTTCTGGGGTGGGGTTAGGGATGAGGAGGTGGGGGGTGCAAGAGGGTGCTCCAGGATGGGACTGAGGGGTTCGGAGGGCAGGAGGGGGATCAGGGCTGGGGCAAGGGGTTGGGGCACAGGAGAGGGTCAGGGGTGCAGGCTCCAGGCCGTGCTTACTTCAAGCAGCTCCCAGAAGCAGTGGCAAGTCCTCCCTCCAGCTCCTATGTGGAGGTGCAGCCAGGCGGCTTTGCATGCTGCCCCTTCCACAAGCGCTGCCCCTGCAGTTCCTAGTGGCTGTGGTTGCTGGCCAATGGGAGCTGTGGGGGCAGTGTGCGGAACCCCCTGGCTGCCCCTATGCATAGGAGGCGGAGTGGGGACGTGCCGCTGCTTCCAGGAGCCGCGTGGAGCCCTGGCATGCATGGAACGGGGCAAGCCCTGGACCCCGCTCCCTGGCTGGAGCTCAAGGGCCGGATTAAAACGTCTGAAGGGCCAGATGCGGCCCCTGGGCTGTAGTTTGCCCACCTCTGCTCTAGGATGAGAGTCCTTTGCTGGACTGCATAAGGGCACAATAGAGATTCTCACCCAAGATCAGAATGATAGACAAATGTTAAATGCCAGTACAAGGTTGCTGGGTTTTTAATACTTTTTCTCTTGCTTTCCATAAGATATAGAAATATTCTATTTGAGCTTCATTCCTTTTAAACTGCCATGCCACATATGCTTCAGAATTATTACAGCAGTGACTAGACAGCTTCAATTAGGACCAAGGTTCTGGTGTGGTAGGCACTGTATGAACAGATGTAGACAGTATCCACTTTGAAGAACACAGAAGCTGCTATTTAGTAGCAGTTTCATTTTGAAAAGTGCTACATATTTCTCATGAAATGTTGTCATATTATTTTAAACAGACGGACTAAAAATCACTGCACAATCTGAAGAGCTTTCTAGCAATTTTGACAAATATTCTTACATAGGGTGACCAGACAGCAAATGTGAAAAATTGGGACGGGGGTGGGGAGTAATAGGAGCCTATATAAGAAAAAGACCCAAAAATCGGGACTGTCCCTATAAAATCAGGACATCTTGTCAAGCTACTCATGCATATATTTTCAAATTGATAATACAGTTGGAGAATGGCACTTACCATGATTAACTGCAAATCTTAGCTTCTGTATCACTGCAAGATTGCCACTAACTCGGTATAACCCGTCAACATCCAATCCTAAAACAAATTTTAAAATGTAGATTTTTTTTTTTTTTAAGATACTTAAATGGGTCAGTCTGCTCATTTTAGAGATTTCAGTTAGCAAAAAGAAAACCCACCATCAGGAGAACTGCAAAACCTCTTGTCACAATTAAAACTATTTACTTATCGGCAGAGATAGTTGCTGACTAGCATCTTGCCACTGCAAAACTTATGTTTGAAATAATGTCTAAAATGTGATGTGTACTCAGACAATGTGAAGAAGTCTTCAGGAGTGAGGTGCCCAACTCCCACTGATTTTCAATGAGGGCTGGAAGCCCACCCTCCAACAGCTGCTTTTAAAAATCTCGCACCTAATAATTAGTTAGCACAACTATTGTTTAGTACATAAAGGATTTCACTTTCTCTCTTGCACATATATATATGTGCACTCTCGCTCTCTCTTTCATACCTCCACTCATCCTAAAATACTAGCAGTGAGATTGTAGGGTTTTTGATTTAGGTTTTCCCTTTCATATTAAACCTATATTTACCAAAATGTATGGTGACTAAACCAAGCTAAGTCAGTCATTCTGGAGAACACCTCAAAGTTGATAGTGGGTGACCAGGTCCACCAGATACCACCCATTCCACTGGTTTATGAGTTTTCATGTGTGTTTAATTCCATCCTGTTGCCTTACTTTCTCATGACAAGCAGATGTCCCCTCCATCCCTACCATCTTTACAGTGTTGAGGAAAACACTAGATTTGGCAAAAGGAGAAAAATTACTTCTCAGTGGCTGCTATGGCAGAAGATCAAAAGTGGTCATGTGCGGAAGACAGGAAGAATTTCTGTCTACAATGCTCATAACCTCTACATGAATTCAGTACATTGCGTTGGCTGATACGAGTGTTGAAACGACGGGATTCAACAGCTCCCTTAATCCCATCCACAGGGAATCCTGATGTAACAGAAGCATCAGGAGATATGACGCACAACTGTCAGTACCATCTGTCCCACCCATCCATTCGCCACTACCTTTTACTGCCACAATCTATTGATCATTCTCTCTCTGAAGGGCTAATGGGGAGGGGGATGGAGATGGAAGAGGAGGGAAGAAGCTGCTCAAATCAGTTCCCCTTAAGGTAAAAGAGGATAGCAGTGAAAGCAGCAAGTTCTGTCTCAATGCAGAAAAAACACATCCACTGCAGCTTCTGGAGTTGGGTGGAGGACAGTAGAACCAGTTCCTGCTCTTCCTTTTTGTACTGAGTCACCAGACAGCAGCAGTAAGGGGGGGCTATAAGTTGCACCATATTCCTTTACTGTAGCTGTTTCCCCATGGAGGGCGAACCTATTTTGCCCTGCAACATATTTTGCCCTAGCTCCCACTCAGGCCCTGAATGTGACGTGCTAGATCTAAGGTGGGAAGGAAGTGGGGTGCACCAAAAAGATGGGTGGGTAGATTCTCTTACACACAACTTGGATCTTTAGCATCAGCCACTACATGGGAATAATTTCACTACAAGGGAGTAGGTGACCCACTTGCAATAAGTAACCCACTCTCATAAGAATTCTAGTAACAACCACATCAACAAGCAGGCAAGAGACAAGTAAGGAGGCTAGTCAGGGTGGGGATAAATATGCAGCCAGTTACCTAAAAGTTTTTATATATATAAAATGCAGAAGCATTGGGTCATCTTATACATCAGGCTTTCCAAAATGTTAACATTCAATCTAGACTCACTTTAATACTTGAGTAAGAGAGATCTGCCTTCTCTTATTGTCAACAGGAAAAGAAAAGAACATGTTCAACAAATCAGGGCACTTTAACACATCAGATAAAATATAGAAATCTGGTAATCTGAGCAGTTTGAAGCACATTTTCCAAGTTGTATCAGTATAACTGGCTAAAGGAATCTCAGATGACTTAGTGTTATCTGAAGACCTTGATTCTCCACACATTTACACAGGTAAGGTGTCCCTAAAATGAACTTGTAGGAAAAAAAAGTCTTTAATGCAAGTGGTGTTTTGTTAACATAGGTAAAGATTTAAGAAGCAATTTTATTAGTTACCTACTGACAAGGCCCCTTTCAACAATCCTGTCCCCAATATGATGACCTGTTCCCAGTTCCCTCTTGCTACTCTTTGCTAGCCACGATCTCACTGGATCCTAGTTCAGGTTGCCTTCCCTCTCTACTTCCCAGCTGTTGACATCCTATTGCTATAACTCCAGCTATAAGCCTCAGACTTCACAATACTCAGTTACCAGTCATTTGGAAACCAACAGGATAAGAATTAAGCTTCCAAAATTAGATACTGACTCAGAGATTTGGAGATAAAAACCAAGAGATGAACATTTTCACCCTACCATGTTCTTCGACATGTTCAATGCACAGCTTCACGAACTTTGGCACCGAGCTGTTTTCTCTCTGACACAAGCTGGTGAGATTGGAACCAAACACTTGATCTGGAATCAAGTAAAAAAATCTTATTTATAGTTGAATGAGCTTCAAAGGATAAAACTAGTTCATGCACAACAGTGATATACTAAGAATATATGGCAACACACCCTTAGGTAACAAGAAGCAACAGGCAAGGTTTTCAAAAGAGCTCAGTCCCCATGGGGAGCAATGGTAACTTCTGAGTGCTGAATGCTTGAAAAATTCACCCCCAGCTGTGAGTGCTGAGCACTCTTGACAATCTGGCCCAACACGTCTGGTGATTCGAGTAAAGGGATGGAAGTTAAAAGACTAGTTTATTAAATACTCTTCCACCAACTCACTGTATGACCTTGAGAAAGTCAATGAACTTCAGTAAAATCTGAAGGATTTTATAGGCGGAACTATAAAACCTCTTAAGATACATACTTATCCACCTATCTTAGGTTTTGTTATAGCTCTCAACACTGAAGTATCTTAAATGCTTCATCTATAGAAATCACTTCGATACCCTCAGGTGAATTACTATAAAATGTCATGCATATAGTTACTGTAAGAATGGACCTTAAAGGATTTGCATGTTTTATGTTGTATTTTGCACTTGTATGAATAATCACAGGATTATACAATATATGCTTACTGTAATCTTTGTGCCCAACTTTTTTGTATGGAGATAGGGAGTACCAATAAGGAGTATTTAAATTACAACTTTTGGCATTATCTTTAACGTTACTTTAAAACAATATTTCACTGTTTAACTTAGTATACCCCTATAAACAGAGCTCCAGAGCTATAACAAGTGCCCTCACATTGCAATCGGATCCATAAGGGTGGATCCTTGTATCAGCGCACAGCTCTGTTGACTTCAGTGACGCTCTGCACAGGTGATCCAACTGCAGGATTATGGCATAGAAGTGGATACCCACAGACAAAATTATTTAGCAAGACACTCAAGCAGTTTTTGAGCTTTGTCGTCAAAAGGAGCTTGTAACAAAAATAAAGGAAGGGGACAGGTTTCCACTGAAACACAGAAAGAAAACCAGCATAAGGCCAGTGAGATGCATGCTACTGTATAACAAGGAATCTTGCAATGCATCAATTTAAATGCTTCAGCAATATACTAAAGATTCTGCATTTATCACATTTCATGTCAGAGCTGACACTGCAACCATAGTCTGGTATTTGTACATTGCATTCCCCTTTGCTCTGCCAATTATGTTGGCCCTTGTCTTTTTCCTATGCCCCCATCTTCATGCCTTCTTCCACAGTGCTCCAAGGGCGGAAGAGCTTCCTAATTCAGGTCCACCAGACTTCACTTCCCCATTTAAAACCTTTCTGAAGATTCATTTCTTCTTTGAGGCCCAAACACACACAAAAAATACATACTTTCAAGTGTTTAAATGATCCTCCCTCCTTTTGGGTACCCCGGGTTTCTTTTCTTTCTTTTGTAGGTTGAAATCTCTCCCTGGAGCACAGACTGCCCTTGTGTTTACATCATGCACAGCACCAAGCACGTTTTGGCTCTTAATAAATTAAGTGGCCTCATGTTCCTGAAATGAGTGCTAATGAGTTTTGCATCATTGGAGCATAATGGGAAATCCCTAGAGTGTTATGGATATTAATTATCACACTGTGCCTCTTAATGTTTTCTTCCATTGTTTCTTCAAAGTATTTTCCTTAATTGTACTTTTTTCATGTAGTAAAAGCACATTTAAAAACAGTTACTCTAATTAATGCATGCTGTTGTGCAGTGTTTTCCTAGAGATTGTTTTTTCAACATTTTCCTTATTCTAATCACCTGCTTTTGTAGTTTACTACACTTTTGTAAAAGCTTTTGTATTTTTGTGTCTGTTAACTAACAGCTTCTGTATAACTCAATGCACAAGGATAATGCAGAATTGCAGATTTATATTTTAAAATATACTAACAGCACCAACTTTAAGTTTAAATGCTTGCTCCTTAAATAAAAACACCTTTATTATCTCCAAACACCAGCATTGCATTTGTGCACGCAGTTCAACTTGGCTCAGTGTTCACACCAACTAATTTCTCAGAAGTTTACACACAGTGCATAAAGTCAGTTCCAAGCTATAAAATGGAATGCAAAGCTGCAGTCTGGGAAGAATTCCCTCCACCCCAAACAATTAAAAATCCCACAATTTACTTTTGTAATTATGATCTGGAAATATGACATATTTTGTAAATGTTTGGGCTCCTATTACTTAAGCTAAATTGGTTGAAATTGACATTAAGTTTGACAAATTTAATGTCAGATAAGAATTTGGCCTGGTATATTTCTACTGACATGAGCTATAACTATATTTATTGTATGTAGTTGACTTTTAATTATGAAGCAGTGCAATGTATATTGGACAATAAGAAACTAAGTCTAGAATGAATATCAAATCAATTGTAAGATCACTCTGTTTGCAAACAAAGGAGTGTTGGCTTGCCAGCTGAAAGTGAAGAACAAATGGACTCTGCTTCCCAGAAGCATTACCCAAGGCCCAGTGGGTTCTTGGGACCTCATCCACCCCATCCCTTCACCTCTGTCCGTTATAATATGACAATTACTTCTTCTCTGTAGCTGAATTTGGTGACCACTAGGGCTGTTGAAAGAATGACACACACCTACCCAGAAACTGACAAACTATCACATCTGCCATCTGTTACAAAAATAACTGGTTCCTTTTCAGTCAAATGTAGTTAACTTTATAAGGCTGGTTTCCTCTAGAATTACACTAATTCCTGCTCTGCGACACAGACATGATTGTAAAATTCAGCTTATCAAAAGGTTTACTGAAGAAATAAGGATAATTTACCCTTAATGTAGCCTTTTTCTCGAACAGCTTGTAATGTAGGGCGTCGTGTAAGAAATTTCTTCAGCTTTGTTTTTGTCTTTTTCTGTTCTGAAGAATCTATGTTGCTAGATATTTTCATCGCTAAAACAGAAAAAGTAAATTTAATATAGAAATGTAAAAACAAACTTGACAAGCATTAAATAGCTAAATAGTTTGCCCAGAGAACAATACAAGAAAAACTTATTTGAAGCTGGCAAATGCTTCAAGGGAAAAAAACAGTATATTCTAACACATTAAAATATACAGTGCAAACTATTTTCTCTATCTTTTATTTATGCAAGCACCTGGTACGTCGTAGGCACTTTCCAAACTGTCAAGAATGGCCCCTTCTCAGAGGAGCTTACGAGACAGAGGATTAGTTGCAACCCTGCCATATACACATACACGATTTACTACAACTGTACTATTTCTAAGTCAGGCTTTTTATCTTAGATTTGTATCCTTCATGTCCAACATCAAACCTCCTTGATATGAAATTACTTACACAGTTAAAATAATTATTTTCTAATGTTACGTATGAAGCCAGAAACAAGAAGTGAAAAGTTTGCCTGATCACTTTGTTTATTCTGTGCATTTGACAGCGACTTTCAGGTTAATTTGTCAAAGATATGAAACTTAATGAAGGGATCTTCACTTACTGATATATCCGCTAACTTTAAAAAAAACTCTCCAATTGTGCAGTACAGAAACTTCAAATTCATTTTATTCACTAGTCCTGGATTCTAGAGCAACAAACTATTTTTCTTCCACCCAACATTATAAAAAATCAAGTTAACTACAAAAATTTGAATCTCAAATTATAAAGTATTTCTCTTACATCTTGCAAAGCTTACAAAAAACAACTGATGAAGCTAAAGCTTTATAAAACCAAACACCTAAATTTCAAATTTTTGAAAAGTAGTTATAATAATTAGTATATGGATAGTACACTGTGGTAGGGTACAGGGCAGTTAGGATTGTTTGGAGAACTTTAATTTTGTATGATCTTTCATTTGTTTATCTTTTTAAGTCGTTTTAAACTGCAATGCACTAAATGTTCTTTTAGCTTAAACTATATTATTTCCAATCTTAACCAGGTAGATATTAATAATGAAGGTTTTACTGGGAATTAGCTTAACTTACAACGAAGTTTCTTGGCATCCTTATGGTCCTTCTCTTTGTCTTGTTTTTCCACCCCTGGGGAATCTGGTACATCATCTTCGAATGCTTCATCAGATTCCACTGCCTATTGATTAAAAAAGACACTGATTAGTTCTCTTTTTGCTTGACAGTTTTCAGAACAGACAACAGTATATTTTATTAACCATAATCCATAGAGAGTCTTATAATACAAATATGCTTTTTAAAAATATTAAACTGGTAACTTCTTGGAATTAGATACCATAGTCTTGTAAGCTATATTCATTTCTGTATCAACAAGACTAGTATTAACCCTTAACAGTTGCAGGATTTTGTTCACAAGGCCCAACAGAGAAAATGTCACCAGACAATCATTAGGTTAACTGAATTCAGCCAAGGTCAAAACACAAGTAGTATACCTTCCTGCTGAGATTTTGTAACATCAACCAGCCAAGCATATATAAAATATTCTTTCATAGGGAGGTAGACTGTTCGCTATTCTACCTATGTTTTCCACCACAAAATCACTTAGTGTGGGGGCTGGGTGTACACAAAGAGCCCATGAAGCAGTTTCCCTATCTTTGTCAGTCATGGCTATAAATAAGTAGCAATCTTCTATGGCAGAAACTGGAAATGCCTGTTGGCAAGGCGTGCTCGATTGATTGTTTGAAAAGTGTGAATTGGGAGTGCTTTGTTCCAGGTGAGCCTTGACTGGGCCTGACTGTTATAAAAAGCCAGTCAGCTGCGAACCAGCTGAGCAGCGAACAGCAGAGAGGCTAACAGAGAGCCTTTGGAGAGCCCACTGAGGCTTACATCTTGCCGGCTTCTCTGAGTAGTTACAACAATTCCTGAGGAAGCTTGTAGAAGGAAGGTAATATGGATGGGGAGTGTTCAGCTGTTGTGACTTGCACAGGATGTTCCATGTTTGTCTTCCACAGGACAGAAGCGACTTTGTCTGTACAAAGTGCAAGCTGGTCTCCATATTGGAAAGAAGGTTCAAGGTCTGGAGAAATAAGTGTCGATCCTGCATTCCATAAGAGAAACTGAATTCCTGGACAGACGTCAGGATATGCTTCTACGGACACAATGTTCTGAAGATTCAGAGAAGGCTGCGCAGCAGGGACAGAAGGACGGTGAAGCAATTTGGCAGCATGTGACCTCCAGAAGAAGAAAGGGGAGCGTCCATGTACCAGCAACGCAGATACAGGTAAGCAACCGTTTTCATGTTCTCTCCACAGGTACTAATGCGGAGAGTGGACTGGATGATCCATCTGAGGGAAGGGAACAGAAGAAGACTCCGCCGATTGGAAGGCATGAGATGCACTGTCCTAGGGATGCGCGTTCCACGACCACCGCTCCCAAGAGAAGGAGGCGGCTGGTGGTGGTCGGGGACTCTCTCTTCAGGGGGACTGAGTCATCTATCTGCCGCCCCGACCAGGAAAAACCGAGAAGTCTGCTGTTTGCCAGGAGCTAGGATTCACGATGTGATGGAGAGACTGCCGAGACTCATCAAGTCCTCGGATCGCTACCCCTTCCTGCTTCCCCACATGGGCACCAATGATACTGCCAAGAATGACCTTGAGCGGATCACTGCAGACTACGTGGCTCTGAGAAAAAGGATAAAGGAGTTTGAGGCGCAAGTGGTGTTCTCGTCCATCCCCCCGTGGAAGGAAAAGGCCTGGGTGGAGACCGTTGAATTGTGGAAGTCAACGAATGGCTACGCAGGTGGTGTTGGAGAGAAGGCTTTGGATTCTTTGACCATGGGATGGTGTTCCAAGAAGGAGGATTGCTAGGCAGAGACGGGCTGCACCTAACGAAGAGAGGGAAGAGCATCTTCGCAAGCAGGCTGGCTAACCTAGTGAGGAGGGATTTAAACTAGGTTCAGCGGGGGAAGGAGACCAAAGCCCTGAGGTAAGTGGGGACGTGGGATACTGGGAGGATGCACGAGCAGGAGAGTGCGAAAGGGGAGGGCTCCTGCCTCATACTGAGAAAGAGGGATGATCAGCGAGTTATCTCAAGTGCCTATACACAAATGCAAGAAGTCTGGGAAACAAGCAGGGAGAACTGGAAGTCCTGGCACAGTCAAGGAATTATGATGTGATTGGAATAACAGAGACTTAGTGGGATAACTCACATGACTGGAGTACTGTCATGGATGGATATAAACTGTTCAGGAAGGACAGGCAAGGCAGAAAAGGTGGGGGAGTTGCACTGTACGTAAGAGAGCAGTATGACTGCTCAGAGCTCAAGTATGAAACCGCAGAAAAACCTGAGAGTCTCTGGATTAAGTTTAGACGTGTGAGCAACAAGGGTGATGTCGTGGTGGGAGTCTGCTATAGACCACCGGACCAGGGTGATGAGGTGGATGAGGCTTTTTTCTGGCAACTAACCAAAGTTACTAGATTGCAGGCCCTGGTTCTCATGGGAGACTTCAATCACGGATATCTGCTGGGAGAGCAATACAGCAGTGCACAGACAATCCAGGAAGTTTTTGGAAAGTGTAGGGGACAATTTCCTGGTGCAAGTGCTGGAGGAACCAACTAGGGGCAGAGCTCCTCTTGACCTGCTGCTCACAAACCAGGAAGAATTAGTAGGGGAAGCAAAAGTGGATGGGAACCTGGGAGGCAGTGACCATGAGATGGTCGAATTCAGGATCCAGACACAAGGAAGAAAGGAGAGCAGCAGAATACGGACCCTGGACTTCAGAAAAGCAGACTTTGACTCCCTCAGGGAACTGATGGGCAGGATCCCCTGGGAAAATAACATGAGGGGGAAAGGAGTCCAAGCAAGCTGCCTGTATTTTAAAGAATCCTTATTGAGGTTACAGGGACAAACCATCCTGAGAGAAAGAACAGTAAATGTGGCAGGCGACCAGCTTGTCTTAACAGTGAAATCCTTGCTGATCCAAAACACAAAAAAGAAGCTTACAAGAGATGGAAGATTGAACAAATGAGCAGGGAAGAGCATAAAAATATTGCTTGGGCATGCAGGAGTGAAATCAGGAAGGCCAAATCACACCTGGAGGTGCAGCTAGCAAGGGATTTTAACAGTAACAAGAAGGGTTTCTTCAGGTATGTTAGCAATAAGAAGAAAGTCAAGGAAAATGTGGGCCCCTTACTGAATGAGGGAGGCAACCTAGTGACAGAGTATGTGGAAAAAGCTAATGTACTCAATGCTTTTTTTGCCTCTGTCTTCACGAACAAGGTCAGCTCCCAGACTACTGCACTGGGCAGCACAGCATGGGGAGGAGGTGACTAGCCCTCTGTGAAGAAAGAAGTGGTTTGGGACTATTTAGAAAAGCTGGACGAGCACAAGTCCATGGGGCCGAATGTGCTGCATCCAAGAGTGCTAAAGGAGCTGGCGGATGCAATTGCAGAGCCATTGAAAACTCATGGCGATTGGGGGAGGTCCCGGACGACTGGAAAAAGGCTAACGTAGTGCCCATCTTTAAAAAAGGGAAGAAGGAGAATCCTGGGCACTACAGGCCAGTCAGCCTCACCTCAGTCCCTGGGAAAATCATGGAGCAGGTCCTCAAGGAATCAATGCTGAAGCACTTAGAGGAGAGGAAAGTGATTAGGAACAGTCAGCATGGATTCACCAAGGGCAAGTCATGCCTGACTAATCTAATTGCCTTCTATGAGGAGATAACTGGCTCTGTGGATGAGGGGAAACCAGTGGACGTGTTGTTCCTTGACCTTAGCAAAGCTTTTGACAGTCTCTCACAGTATTCTTGCCAGCAAATTAAAGAACTATGGGCTGGATGAATGGACTATAAGGTGGATAGAAAAATGGCTAGATTGTCGGGCTCAACGGGTAGTGAGCAATGGCTCCATGTCTAGTTGGCAGCCGGTATCAAGTAGAGTGCCCCAAGGGTCAGTCCTTGGGCCGGTTTTGTTCAATATCTTCATTAATGATCTGGAGGATGGTGTGGATTGCACCCTCAGCAAGTTTGAGAAAAGAGGTACGCTGGAGGGTAGGGATAGGATACAGATGGCCCTAGACAAATTAGAGGATTGGGCTAAAAGAAATCTGATGAGGTTCAACAAGGACAAGTGCAGAGTCCTGCACTTAGGACGGAAGAATCCCATGCACCGCTACAGACTAGGGACCGAATGGCTAGGCAGCAGTTCTGCAGGAAAGGACCTCGCCGTTACAGTGGACGAGAAGCTGGATATGAGTCAACAGTGTGCCCTTGTGGCCAAGAAGGCCAATGGCATTTTTGGGATGTATACGTAGGGGTATTGCCAGCAGCTCAAGGGATGTGATCATTCCCCTCTATTCGACATTGGTGAGGCCTCATCTGGAGTACTGTGTTCAGTTTTGGGCCCCACACTACAAGAAGGATGTGGAAAAAATTGGAAAGCGTCCAGCGGAGGGCAACAAAAAAGATTAGGGGACTGGTACACATGACTTATGAGGAGAGGCTGAGGGAACTGAGATTGTTTAGTCTGCAGAAGAGAAGAATGAGGGGGGATTTGATAGCTGCTTTCAACTACCTGAAAGGCGGTTCCAAAGAGGACTGTTCTCAGTGGTACCAGATGACAGAACGAGGAGTAACGGTCTCAAGTTGCAGTGGGGAGGTTTAGGTTGGATATTAGGAAAAAAATTTTCACTAGGAGGGTGGTGAAGCACTGGAATGCATTACCTAAGGAGGTGGTGGAATCTCCTTCCTTAGAAGTTCTTAAGGTCAGGCTTGACAAAGTCCTGGCTGGGATGATTTAGTTGGGGATTGGTCCTGCTTTGAGCAGGGGTTTGGACTACATGACCTCCTGAGGTCCCTTCCAACCCTGATATTCTATGATAGTGACAGAACACCACACCAAAGATAATTTGATATAGTGATCTTGTCAGCCTCTGAAAGCCTAACCCTGTTTGCTAATGTCAGTGTTCTCTCAGAATGTTAAAATGAATAGCTCACTCAGATGTAATCAGTGTGAATTACTTTTGAAGATCAGGCATAAATTCCAACTAATCAGAGGGCCATTGCCAAAGCCCCTATACCTGCAATGTGATACCTAGACAGAACACACAATTCCAGAAATATTAGCAGTTCGGTGAGGATGCTCTCGTTGACTTTACACCAACCCCCTGCCCTGAGCCCCCTTCTGCACCCGCACCCCTCCTGCGCCCCAACTCCCTTCTCTGAGCCCCGTCGCATCCCCCACCTCCCTACCCTGAGCCCCAACCCCCTGCCACATGCCACCTCCCTGCCCTGAGCCCCCTGCTACACCCTGCATCCCTCCTGCACCCATGTCCTAAGCCCCCTCCTGCACTCCGTACCCTTCTGCACCCCAACCTCCTTCCCTGAGCCCCCTCATAAACCCCGCACCCCTCCTCTGTGCCGTTTCCTGCACACTGCACCCCCTCCCACACACCGCACTCCCTCCTGCACTCCAATCCCCTGCCCCAGCCATGCAAGCAATTTCCCCACCCAGATGTGGCCTTCGGGCCAAAAAGTTTGCCCACCCCTGCATTAGACAATCCCTTTTCCCTTATCAGCACTAGTGCTATTACATTAGCCAGGCACCAGGGACCACTGAACTGGCTACTAAATGCCCTTTCCTCTTCCCACCTTCAATATACTCACTCTCCAAGAAGTCAAGAAATGAAAGCATGAGTGATACACTTAACACTTAAAGGGCTGGAATGATGGAGTAGGTTCACAAAATAGTTTCTAACTAAGACAGCACTGAAAAAAATATCTTCAAGATTTAAGTACATACCTGATTACTGATAGTGTAAGAAAGAACTTTAAACCACTCATTAATAAAAACGTCATTATCAGATTGAATTAAGAGTTCAGTTCCTTGGCGGGTTTTCAGCTTTAAAGAAAAGAAATATTCTATTAGAACAAAATATAAATATTCAGAATAATTCAGTGTTTTAAAACCATATTACGTTAAACTCAACAGTTGTACATAGCCACAAATGTGCAGCAGCTGCAAGTCATATGGCAATGCGAGCCTGTGTGTCAGACAGGATATCAAACCCTAAAATGAATCTTACCTATCCTTTATTGTGTATATATGCTGTACAGTTATTGTTTGGTTAATATAGAAATTCTGAATGCTGTAACTGTTAATGATATTTATCTGTGACCTTTGTCGTCTTGTTTTCAGACAGGAGAACAATGTGCAGCATGTCATAGTTAACTATGCTGATAATATAAATACAAGGTACACAGCCAAGAGGTATTATCAGATGTTCCAGTTCTTACAACAGAATTAAGAAATAAGACATGGGTATAACTCTGATCAGTGCTTAAAGTTATTCAAAACACACACAAAATTGAATTCTGTTTTGCAGCAAATGACAACAGTGTATTTCAAGAGATGTGTTAAAATGACACTATAGTATTCTGGTTTCAGCTAACGTTAAGTTCCTGGCTACTGCTTTCAGTTGCCATATAATGATTCAAAAATTGATTCCACTAAAAAAGAACAAGTTAACCTAAATTCAAAAGCAATTATACATTATAGGCTACATTAAAAAGGTATACAGCTTGCACTTACAGTAATGTGTACATATTTTAGAAAAACCTTTATCTTGATATTGTCCTGGGGCATGTATGCCTTTAATCCAACTGATTGGTTTTTTTGTTTGTTTGTTTTAAGTTTAGAGAAGTTTTTTTTTTTTTCGTTTGGAGTATAGTAAACCACCAAAACAAAGCCATACTTCTGAAAAGTAAATAAACTCACCTCAACAACATTCTTTTTGCTGGATTTGTCCTTTGATGCCCAGTCAATAACAGCCCCTCTGATATCCACTGTGAATTCTGGTTTAGACTGATTGACCCCAAACTTCTGAAAGAAAGAATAAATAATGATTTTCTTTGATTAGTCACCCCTAAAAAATGTACACAGTCTTGTGACCCGCATATATAATAGAGCTTAGTATTTTACAGACTACACACAGTTAACTCAAGTACAGTGTTCTGCCCAACTTCCCAACTGAAGCGGTACCATGAAAAACTAAATGTTTCCAAAGAATGGTTTGTTTTTGAGAATAGGCAAATGTACAGATGATACTGATATATGCTTTAAATGAAAAAACTAACTCCAACACAGAATTTTTTAATGCAACAATTGTACAACTATAATTTGATTATAGTATGGTTTTGGGCACAGATTGTCCAAAGTTGTAAACAGGTTGGCTTTTGGTGAAGTCATTCTAGCATTTAACCATCACCTGGACACTTGGACTTAAAAAATACTAATGGCTTTACTAGACAGGCAAAAATATACCCTTGTAGAATATAGTAAAAGCTCTCCCTAGTATACTGAAGGGACATTGGTTTTTAAGGAATGTTTCATAAAACCCAATTGATTTTACAATTAAAATTTTACTTAAAACATTTTCCTGTAGCATTTGCAACACAAACACTGCTGCACTGTGCAAGTGCACAGAAACAAAGCAATTTCACTGTCTAATCTAATATTCAAACACTGAATAACCAACATAAATTGTGAAAATGAGATTTAATCCACAAGCGTCCTTCACGCAAGTGGGGAAAACCATTCACAAACTTTCTTTTCTCTCTCTTTTCCTGATATCAGCACAACCACAAGTTTCCTTGTTAAACAAGGAGTATTGCATTGGGTTTTATGAAACAATAAAATAAAAATTAAAAACATACTGATGACGTTTTATTGTGGTACATGTCTAATGTAACAACAGTCTTAAATGGGAAGTTGAACATTCGCTAGAGTTTCACCCCTTATCACTCAGCTTTTATTTCCCTTTTAAAGGGTCTGAACCTGTGGTCTTCACAAAACATAAAAGGTAATTTTGGGCCAAAAAATGAATAATCAAAATTTTAATTAGCCAAAAGGGGGAAGATTAGAAGTGAAGTGGTGCTGGCACAGAAATTCAGTGCCATACCATCACTGAGACTCTCCTGGCTCCAGACTAATGACTTAAACATGTTTTGTCTTTCTATAAAGGTGAATTTAACGTCTGTGTGGAGTGCTGATTGACTGCTCTGGAGGAAAAAAATCCTCACTGTCGCCACAGAACAGGAACCCCATGGAGAGCATCAATGCAAGCGTCTCCACAGTGAATCTACCAATGTGCCTCATCTCTATTCAGGAGCAACCACCTTTAGGAGAACAGTAGTTCAGTTTCCATTCCCATTTAATCTCTGTCCTCTCTGCTGAGACTGTCAGCAACGATGTTTGTTAGTGTCAGCGGTTCTGTACCATAGATATTGTCCACCAGGAACAGAGCAGGAGCTTTTCAAAGGCAAACAGCAGTTGGGTAACTAATTATTATTTGTGGCTTTACAATCCTAGTTTATGGGAAATTTTTCAAACACTGTGGGGACAAAACAGAATCACCACTTAAAATCAAAACACTAACTCATCTAATATGCACCTCTAAGCAGGCATCCAATGATAAGGAAAACCATTTTAAAACAGTGTTGCAGCAGTAGTCAGAGGCCTGGCTCAGGATCAGGCTCATTGAGACAGCTGCTGTACAAGCACGCTCAAATACAGGATACCTGACAACCACCTCCTAGGCCAATTCAAACTATCAATTTAGAGAGATAATTTCCATATCATATTATCAGACTGTCATTCATTACCTAATACATGCTAAACTTTGGCTATTATTTTTTTAAATAATTTAAATGAAGGGAGGAGGGATTTTACTCTTTATTTTCCTAACAAAAGGATAGAAGAAAAATTCTTACTGAAAAACATGTTTTTAAACATGACAGACCCAATCCTCCAGAAAGATTTTACGTTCCAATTAGAGATCGTCCTTGTAATTTTATTCTTTAGTTCTTATATACACAGTTGCACAATACTGGTGAGTTATGGTATAGTATATAGTTTTAGTAATATAAACATATTTAAGAGATCTCAGATAATGTAGACTTTTAGTACAGGTTGACAGCTGAACATTTCAAAACAGTTTGTTGTATTTTAGTAAATCACACAACACAGATTTTCCCAGAATATTTATTAGTTTGTATAATTTGTATTATCATAGTGCCTAAGAGCCCCTATCATGGACTAGAGCTCCATTGTGCTAAGTGTTACAAACAGAACAAAAAGCTGGTTCCTGCCCGCACTGAACTTACAATAGTAGTCAGTGGACAGTGCAAAACTTTTGCTACCAAGCAGTTAAGAATCAGGCTCTCACTCAGCAACTGAAAGTCTAAATTTCTTCAAGAATCAGTTCAGATTCTGAAACAATGTACAAAAATCCAAACCACATACTCAGACCATGTATTCAAGAACAATGGATGGTAAATATTTATGAGCATCTGGGCCTTGTAACACTTCATGCATTCAGCAGCACATTTTGACTGACAATGGAATGGAGTTTACATTAGTTTAATTTCTCTTATTATTTTGCTAATTAAACATGCATAGATGCATTTATATTGTCCTATTGCAAACCTCACCAAAGAGGTCATAATCAAAAGTGATTGCCACAAGTGAGATGTTAGCAGCCATACCAAATCTCAAGTAGCCTGACTAAATTTAAAGTTAACAGTCCCTTTCCTTTTCCTCTAAAGGCACTAAAAAGTACTTGCACAACTATGGCATCAAAATGATTTTTTTTTTTGCAACATTTCTGTCCATCATCATCATCAAAACATACTGAAAGTAGATTTTGAAGTTTTGCATTTGAGCTTTAACACTTTTTTTTTTTTACTGATAATTTTGCAGAACTGAAGATAGCTCAAAGGAGCCAATTACCATCCCTTACAAACAAACTTGTTACTGTTGAGCTAGCATTTTAGCCTACAAATATTTGATTCTTTTCTGAGAATACAGCATTTCTATATTGTACCCACACTATACCAAACAAGGCTGTCTTATTGTATGTAAACTGGTATGGTGTTTTGAATCAGTTTTCTGCATGCTGTGCAGTAAGACATCCTTGACATTTTCCTCTTATTTCAGCTGCATTATATGTCCCATGATGCATAATGCGACATGTATGCAGTCATGTGGTCATAAGGTATTTCATTTATAGCTATATTTGACAGATTTCAAATAAATCATTCAAATCAAATGCATATAAATATCCTCCAAACATCCTAAATTAGTTGCATTGTTAGAAAGAATTAGACATAGGCCCTAAAAGCTGTTAATATACTATATCATGCCCTCCATTAGTCAAAATACTAGTGGTTCCAGTGACTGGTACAATGTGGATTAGAATCCACTTCATCGGTACTGGAGTTATCTTTGTATTTAGTTCCATTAGGGTGATTACAGGATTATTGGAATATACCCGTTAATTTTTACCTTGTACAACCTTAATGCATTTCAGAAAAAAAAAAAAAGAGAGAGAGAGACAGACAGACACACAACCCCCAGAAGATATAGAGAAAACATGAAGTGTTACATAAAATGGCATGAAAATTACTTCAACTCAGTTAGCAATTCTTGGAGAAATGAGGTGTCTTTCAAATTTATTTTAAGATACTGATAGTGAATAAAATAGTATGATGCAAGAGGCATGTAACAAGAACACATACAGTGATAGCTGAAACAGGATCACAGTTTACATAGGTGACAGCAGGCCGACCACTGAGAGCATTTTTCCAAGAAGAAAACAGCGAGAGCAGGAGCTCAGGAATTAAGCCCCACTGGCAAAATGACTTGGTGAGAAAAAGGAAGAAAAATGATGAAGTCACAAAGCAATGCACAAGAGTAAAAGCAAACACATCAACAACTAGGTAACCATTAAACAAATATTTTTTCAACCAGATGATGGTGACATGAAACTCGGATTTTAAATAGGATTCAAGTGAATCTTAAACATGACTGTACAACATGTGTTTAAATATTCTTATGGGTTGTTTCTGAAGGATAAGAGTTTACAAATGACTGATTAGTTTTTTAAATATTGTATTTTTTTTTCATTGCACAGGGAGAGCAGAAAAGTGCATAAGTATGTATACACAGAGATATACAGTCTTTGAAAACAGATACTCTCCCTTGATAATTTAAAAGCTAGTTTACACTGATCACACTGTAAATATTGGTCTCATTTCCAACACTGCATACCTTAAGGTACTAAATAGAAAATATTTTACCATATAGTGGACAAGATATGTACTTATATTTAAATTAGATCAGTGGTTCCCAAACTTTAATAACCTACGTCACAGAGTTTCAGGCCAGAGAGGACACTAGATCATTGGGTCTGACCTCCTGTATCTTACAGGCCACCACACTAATCCCAACAATCGAAATTAGACCAAAGTATTACAGCCCACAGGAGACTAGCTATGTGCCACAAGCAGAGAACAGGTGCACTAGCGCAGGAAGCCCCTGGGATAGGAGGGAATAATTAAGTGAGATATACCTAGATGATCCTGGTAAGTGACCCACATGCTGCAGAGGAAGGCCAAAAAACCCCAAAGTCACTGTCAGTCTGACCCAAGGGAAAATTCCTTCCTGATGCCTCATATGATCAGTTAGATCCTGAGTATGCAAGCAAGAACCATCCAGCCAAGCACCCGAGAGAGAGAGACTGTTCAGCACCACCTCAGAGACCTGGCCCTCTCTGTCGAACCTCCAGTCGGAGATTCTCTCAATTGATTTGGAACATTACAGTATGCGTTATACCTTTAGCTACAGAAAACTATAAAAACGATTAGAGGGTACCAACAACAGCAATATGCTTTAAAGGGGAGGAGTCATCTTTGTACATGGCAGACTGAATACCAGTTCTCATGATCATCTGTAGTGAATATGCTATGTTATAAAGCGGGGTGGTGAAATTAAGCTAATTCGATTCCAGTCAGCAATAAAAGGGAGAAAAATTAAGTTTCTATTCTTGTCGAATCTCATCACTTCACTAATACAACATTTCCCACTCCCATGCTCACCTTTCCAGGTTCTCCAATATTTCTTCAATATGCCATGTTATTAAATTTACATAAAAATCACATGCACTGCACAGAAAACCATTTAAGTGTTTATATGTAATTGATTTTTTCCTTTATCATAAAATGTATTGCTTGTAGAAATATCTTCTACCCAGTATTGGATGCACAAGTCATTTAACATTTGTTTCCTTTATCCTTTTAAGTGTTTCAAGCTCACTTTCTATGCGTCCTCAACCATGCTTCCACCCCCATGCACACCCTCTCCTGTTCTTTCAATTCATTCATATTGTGTGAACATCTCCTTAGGTCACTAGGTCCACTCCCTATCATATCCCAATATGATTAACATTGCCTCATTCCTTTTACTCTTCATTTTGTTCTGCCCCACCCCTATTTTTTTTTCTTTCCTTCCTATCACCTCCTGATCCATCCTAGTAGCCTCTCTGTCCTTACCTATTCCCATTGTGCTTCCTGCAACCATCCACTCGACTGCTACAGCGCAACAGAATGACAAAAAATGACAAGATTTCTGATCTCTGAAATGAAAATAGTCCTTCAGAAAAATTGTCAATACCAATTTGCTGCTTATACAGTGTGAAGCAGCAGAGAGTGAATCAAGTAGAAAAAAGTTCCAGAGAGTATGCTAGAGTAATAGCATGCGCCAGTCAAATACAGCTGCTAGAATTGCAATCTGTTTATCTATTCATTAGTTTTCAAATAGGACTACATACTTAATATAAGAACTTCACTAATCTTGTAGAAAATCTAATATTGAAAGAAAATGGATAGCAAGACATTTCTGAGATGTAACTGGATATATACATAATCACTGAAACAGTAATTGCTGTTCAATGTGGGATGGATATAAATTTGAAGAACTTTCAGTCGAAGGATACCCTTAAACACTGCCTTTTGTCTATTGGACATACTGCATGTGAAAAACGTATTTCTTTCAACATGCAGCATAAAACAAAATTCAATAAAGCATGGATTGTAACATGACAAAAGCTCAGAAGTTCTGCCTTCTCCCCTATCCCTTAGATTGATTCGCAAACACCAGGAGCATAATCTATGAAGTACATACTGGCTGATTCAGTTCTTCCAGTGTAATAATTTGAGCTTTACAGTGTTTCCTTTATTATTTAATTTTATGTATTTATTTCAAACTTACCTCAAAGTGTGAAAAATATCTTCAAGCTACTAACTAACCCATGAACCAAAAAACACACACAAAAACAGACCCAATTCAGAAATGCATGGTGAGAAACAAATCAAGGACAAATTTGGTCTGGAGCATCTTCTGCAACCTGCTATCTTTTGATTCAATTCTGACAAATTTGAAGACAACCAAAAACCCTTTATGAGTTTCTAAATTAGTGCTGATAAGAATGAATCACAAGATTTTCTGTAACAGGGAAAAGAGTATATTTGGTTTTCTTCTTACCCATCATCATAATTGACTGCTACACTACACTATTTTCCTTGTTTTGTCATTTTTTGAATCATGTAAGTACCTTTTTATATAGATTCTACAGATAATTGCTAGAATTTATTGTGCTTAATCTGTTCCACATTTAAATAAAGCAAAAAGATAGCCTGAAGTACTTACCCAACCAGTTCCAGTTCCTTGGGTTTTAGTAAACAACAGTGATGAACCCTGTAATACTGCCCATGACGACATCCAGTTCTTTCTGCAATTAAAATACTGACATTTATATTTGTTTTCAAATAAAATTAAACTACCTTACATTGTCCATCACTGCGAGAATGCTGATCTCTGTGTTAGCACAATTAACTACATATATACTCATTAGTGATATTAGTAAGTCTTTTAATTGCTACTATTATATTTGTGATGGGGAACTTAAGTTAATAGCCCCAAGCTGGCCATCAAAGTCTAAACCAAATAGAGATATTTAGTAGTGAAAGCCACCAGTTTCACTAGAAGAAACACAGTGTATAATTATGACCTCAAAGATGCTAATTTAGCCTGCCCAAACTGCAGAGTATTAAATAGGTTATGTCAAAGCATTGCATAATCATGAGACTGACTGATCATGGTACCTCATACCTACACAGGATGTAAGTGTACCACATTTGACAGAATACACTGGATTTGTATTTGGATTGAAAGAATATTTGTTGCGTGTTTACAATGCAGAAAAGTACAAGTCCATTACTATTTTTGAACACCTATTCCCTTGAGGTTAAAAAAAAAAATCTTGAGTAGCCATGTCTTCTAGTCTTATTGCCTAAGTATGAAATAATAATAAATAGCTTAGCAAAATAGACAGGGTGGCCATACTGCTTCTTTTTAAGCAGAAGTCCATAAACCTAAATGGCTATACTAAACCTACCTGCATAATTTTTAAGGGCTTGTTTGGAACAAAAAATTTAATATTGCATGTGAGTTTAAGCAAGACACTAACATTCAGAACACTCCACATTTTAAATTAGACTAAAGGAAAAGTAGACCTGAGTTAAGTAGAAAATATTTTTACATTCATGCAACATTTAAAATAAAAAAAGGTAGAATTCCAAAAGTTGTCTCATAACATCAGACTGTCCATACTACAACCTGTATATTTATTCCTATTTATAAAATTTAAGTGGCCATCTATGGCACTAAGCAAAGGGTCAGAGAAATCAGAAATTAAGATCATCACCGAGGCCAGAGGTAAGATTGAGCCAGTACTCTGTGGTATATCATACTGACAATGCTTTGGTGGCCAACTGGTTTCTGAAACATTTCAGCTTTCATTTTTTAAAAAAAGTTTAGTTTATAACTCTTACATCTGAAAAGAGAATACTTTGAATGTGAACACTGCAGTCTTACAGATGCCACACATGGATAAATTATCATTCTAAGTAACGTGAACTGCCTCACTCCTTTCAACTCCAACAGTTAACTGTTTCACAGCTTTTCAGTTTCATCCAACAGTAATACATACCCCAACTTCAAACTAGCACTCCAACATAAAACTTTAGCCGATTGACCTCATATGCCTTCACATCAATTATATCAGCACATGCTGAATCACTTAAGGTTTTGTTTTAGAGTGCAAGTTTGATGAAGTTGGGTATCTATTGCTTTTGAGTATCTGTTGGAGATGGAAATGAAAACCTTATGGAGTACTGGAGTGAGTTACTGACTGTTGTAGGCAATAAGAAAGTGGAAAGGAATGCACAGGTCTTTCCTTTTAAGATATTTCCATGTCTTTAAGGTTTTGGGTGGATGCTGTCGCAATCTTCACCGTCACAAAACATAGTCTTTGTTTGTTAATTTCCTAGATATTTTTTAATGCATTTTTGATGTACCTCAGTGAATAGCACCAGAGCCAGGGAGAACAAGAGCTGTACCTGCCTGGAAATCAGAGGGAGAAACTGACCTTCCAAAGCTCTTCCTGTGCTGACCCTCCTGAAAATTGTGAGAAACTGTGAGGTGCCTCAAATTCTTTGTCTCTAAGATTTTATCACCATTTTAAAAGTTACTGAGACTAAGTACACCAAAAGCAGCCCTCTGTTTTGCAGTAACAGCATAACCTGTCAGCTTGAGGGAACTTTAGTAAAGGAATCGCTTTCCAACACACTGCATGTGGACGTCCAGAACTTGGATACAGCCAGATACAGTTGCAGCACTAGGGTGCATGTGCTTGTATTACACCAGCAGATATGTCTATTGCTCTCCACATTCCCTGATGGAATGAAGCATACTTCTCGAACTTTAAATATGCCAGTGCAGGACAGTTGCAAGAGTGATGGCCACCATGTTGGCCAACACAAAGGATTAAACCAGTGACCTCCACAGCTAAAAGCCTTTACAACTTATCCTAAAGAGTCAGGCTCTCAAGCTATCACAAACGTGCATCCTCTATGGATTTGGCACAAAACGTGACAACACACTGACCAGTGAGTTACACAAGCAAAACGTATGATAAATGACTGAAACATGTATTTTACGATTCACACCATAATTTACAGATCATCATAGTTTAAAAAAGGTTTCGTACTTAAAGTCATCTATTCACTGCGTGAGTCACGTGTAACCATACTAACCTCTCCCAGATCAGCAGCAGGATTTGAACCTCTTGACCTTCAGATCCCTTCTACTAGAGCTAAGGAATAACTGCTAATGCCTCCATAGACCTGCTATTGGAGGAGGACTTAACACTTTCCCAATGGGTTACACAACTGTACTAGTCAGCAGTAAATGGTTAATGATCAGGAAGCATGGATTCTATCCCTAGCTCTGGGAAAGGAGTCTGGTGTTATAGTAGTTAGAGATAAAATAGCCAAAACAGGGTTAGTCACTTTGAAAGTCAGCATACTACAGTGGATAAGATTAGGGTTTTTCAGAGATCTAAGTTTTGTATTGGCAATGATATTGTATAAATGCGCTAATTTAATTGAACAAGTTAGGGTGGGTGAATTTTTGGCAGCTCTTCATTAACTGCTCTAGGTTGGGGTTGAGAATTGTTGTCAATAAGGGTAGTGAATTGCATGGAAATTTAAACAGCATTTAAAAAAGGGGAAGATTTGAAGTCCTAGACTTCTTTCCCACCTCAGGAAGCTTTCCTCCAGGCTTCAGAGGGTATTTGGTGAAGGAGATACTGTGACAGTGTTTGCACAATGATGATTTGTTGTTAAATTAGTCTTGGTGCACATTTTCCATTATGGCTAAAAATTATAAAATGCTCTCTGGATTAACACTACTAACGTGAAACTGATATTTGAGGAATCAGTATGAGGCACCACAATGTACACAAAGGAGAAGATCCCAGAGTGCTCTAGATTTCTTGCAAAAGGGGTACAAAGAAAAGTGAGACAATCTAGTTGGGAAAAAAATTGCCAAAAGTGGTAATAATCTAACTTATTCTTTTTGTATGAATTCATTTTTCAAACCATTTAACCATTTATTTTTACAAAATAAATGGTTAAAAGCTCTATTAAAACTGAACTCTAGTGCAACCTCAACTATAGTGCAGTTATAGCACAGCATCAAAATACACCTCACACCAATCTCTTTGAAAGTTTTTTCCAAAGTGCAAACAAAAGATGAAAGTGATAGTCAAACTTACATCCACAAAAGAAATAAGAATACAGACCAGAACATTTCCTCTCCTATGAGGTATAGAGCTAGACAAGATTAGCTAGAGGCAACAACTGAAATTTCTCTCCCTTCCAGGGAATACAACTACTCTTGGAATACAGGAGAAGAATTAGTACAGTGTTGTCTAAAATTTAAAATTAGCTTTGTTATGAAAGTCACACTTCAGTTCTATAAAGGAAAACTTGTTTGAAGGGAAAACGAAAAGAACAAAGTTCTAATTACATTGCTAATGCCATACACAATAAATACCTTTCATCATCATATTCTTTACCAATCAGTTTAATTGGTATTTGGAAATGAACAATTTGGATAATTACAACAAAAACTAATTCGGTGAATCTGTGGATTGAGTAATAATTGCTATAGCCTCACAATATCGCACCCAAATGGAGTATGAATGAGCACTTTCAACTAAAGCAGGATGATATCCAGAGACCTGACATACCATAGTCAGAAGTCCAGGATCTTTAGTCCACATGTTTAGCTTTGGGGTAGGGAAACTGTTGTCCCAAAGAGAAACTGAGGCAAATTCACACAGAAGTGTTACAAATTCTATCCAGAATAAAGAGGTTATAAAAACAACTGATTAAAAGTCCTACTATGAAAATCCTAATATTTGCTATTGCATATTTACTTTGATAAACAGCAATACATAGAACTAGAATATGAGGACCAAGGAGATATAATTAAGTGTAAACTTACCGGACTTTTTTCCCATTTTCTGTAACTTTCGTTACGTTTAATAATCCATACTTCTCTTGACCCTGTAGGAAGACCGACATTAGACAAGGCGACGACATTACATTTATGAACATGGGCCTCTATGTTCCTATTCATCAGTAGGATAAGCATTTGGCAATAAGAAATATTTTCACTGATATGACACTTGCAGAAATTGAATTATGCTTAAATATATGCATAGTGATGAAAACAAGATGACAATGGAAGGTTCATCATTACTATTCAATAAGTGGGAAGCTGACCCTATTCATGGCCCCATGTACTCTGTTGCAAACTAATTTCTTTGACAGTTTGAGGCAGCAGACTGGAAATTCTGTGGCAGCTTCAGTTTGAATTACGGTTTGTAAATGAAGGTAGTTCAACACATTGATGACATACTGTACGTCCTCTCTTAAAATGATTGGGCTAATTGGAGACAAATCAGCCTTAACTCTGAATTCTGTCAGTTAAAAAGAAGCTTTTAGAAATTATTTTAGCATTGCATTTTTTTTAAAACATACTTTGCAGACTCAGTAAAAAATGTTCTCACTCATGTGTTTAATTTAGCTTAAACATTGGAAGTGAAACACTGCTTTGATGTCTTGTGTATTATTCCCCACCATGAAGGGCTTAAAGATTAAAACTACAAACTGCTTTGCTATGCTTTGTCAATTGAAGAAATTAATTGGTCAGCATCTGCGTAAATTTGTAGATCTCTGAATGGCTGATTAACCACCCCACACAGCAAAAAAAGTGGTACACAGGTGCCATGGGGTAAAATATTTTCCGATGTTATGCAACATTAAGAACATATACAGGCATATTTATCAAATTCTCAGATAAAAAGGAAACTTTATACTTGTACTGTTTCAGATTTGCAGAATGAAGTAATAAATATAAATTCTGCTACTTGTTGCTTAGTTATATGCAGTTTAGTTGTAGCCATGTCAGTTCCAGATATTAGAGACAAAAGGTGGGTGAGGTAATGTATTTTATTGGAGCCACTTCTGTTGGTGAAAGAGATGATCTTTTGAAACACACAGAGCAATTTTTCAGATCTGGGAAAGGTACTCCTAGTGTCAAAGCAAAACGCAAGGTGCAGCATAAGAAGTTAGCACATATTGTAAGGGACCATTCAAGGCAGAGTGGCCTGTTAACACCGCTGCAGTCATAGTACAAAAACAGAGGGTGTTAGTGGGTTACGGATCATTATAATAAGCCATAAATCCAGTGTTTCTGTTCAATTCATGATTTTTAGTGCCTAGCAAAGTAATGAATTTAAGCTCCCATGCTCATCTCTTGAACGTGTTGTGTAGGTTTCCTTTGAAGATGAAAACTGATAGGTCAGATATTCAGAGACTGCTTTGTGAAAAGTATTCATCCACAGGTGACAGGGTGTTTTTGTCCTTTATCATTTTCCTGTGAGAGTTCATTTGAGAACACAGCGATTGTCTGGTTTCACCCTCACAGTTATTTGGGCATTTACTGCACTAGATGAGATAAAATCCAGATACTTCTTATACCATATACCAGCTGTTCTCAACCAGGGGTACATGTACCTCTGGGACTACACAGAGGTCTTCCAGGGGGTATGTCAACTCATCTAGATAGTTCCCTAATTTTACAACAAGCTACATACAAAGCACTAGAGAAGTCAGTACAAACTAAAATTTTATACAATGACTTGTTTATACTCCTCTATATACCATACATTGAAATGTAAGTACAATATTTATATTCTAATTGATTTATTATATGGTAAAAATGTGAAAGCAAGCAATTTTTCAGTAATAGTTTTGTATTTTTATGTATATTTTGTAAGCAAGTAGTTTTTAAGTGAGATGAAACTTGGGGGTACAAAAGATATATCAGACTCCTGCAAGGGGTACAGTACTTCGGAAAGGTTGAGAACCACTGCCATATACCACATGCCATGATAGGATCCACCTATCTTGAAAAATGTGTTGCTGGACCTTAAAAGTTGCACAGGTCACCACATAAAACTAGAGAAGCGCAAGCTTTCCTTCCAAAAGCTGAGCTATTGCTAGAGCAGAATGCACACTACTGGCTTTCATTTGGCTCCCATAATTTCAGTCTCTCTTTAGCAAGACACCAGTGGTAGCAGGAAGCTCAGAAATAACAGTTGTAATTAACTATTACACTTTACTAACAATAGGAAGTGCTTCATGCCTTTGACCTATCGAACTGCCAGCTGAACAAAAATAGTGGAGATTTCCTTTGAGATGCTAAATAACTTGCCATAAACTATTTATTCCACAAGCAAGTCCTAACTAAATACTTTGAAAAAAATTTAAGACATTAAAGAAAAGCTTCCTATCCCTACAGGGACATTGTGAAGATATTATTGTTTGTGTAACATGTAAGCATGTTACAATCTCAAATAATAGGCATATGAGATACTGAATCCTATTCTAAGAAAAAATCATTCAATCTTTTCTTTTCTCACATTACTGGATAGAATCTAAATCCTAATGTGCGTCTTTTTTAAATGTAATTTCAGAAGCAGATGCAAGCCAACAGAGAGAAAATCCTGAGACACCTTTACTTTGTTTAAGAGCACAAGCAGACTTGCTGTCCTAAACTATCTAGTGCACCTGTTGCCTGGCATCTACATGTCTATTATGAGACAACTTGCATACTGACTGTGGCTTGGTGCTTTGGCGAGGAAGGAGAGGACTCATTTTCCGGACAGGTGGATTTCGAAGCAGCTGGATATTCCTACAAGAAAAATAGATGATGCAACCAGTTATTCTCTTTCCTACAATAATATTCTTCATACTATCAATCCTGGAAAGAAAAAACACAAGTCATTTTACAGTCTCAGTCCTGGACTACGGATTGTTTTTTGAAGCATAAATAGAATACTAATTGTTAACCTAGCAGGAGCTCCTGCAAAGTTTACAGAATCCAAACAAACAGAGTTAATGTGGACATGTTCACTGAAAAGGAACAGTAACCCCATCTTCACTATTAGTTTACAATGCTGCTTCTTAATATAAGCAGAATTTTTGTATGGTATTATTTTAAAAATTCACCTGTGTTGTCAAAAGATAAATCATGTTCTGGATACTAATGTGTTCTGGGTACGGTGGGAATACCTGGCATTAGGCAAGAAATGTTCAGAGGAAATATGCCTGTGCTTGGTTGGTAACAGTACAAATACAAAATTACTTTAACATGTGGATAATTATTACATAGATTTTGCTAAATATTCTGAAGTAATTTTAGTTAAATTTCTTGTAATCATCAGTGACTAGAAGTTTCTGAAAAAAGTGCAAGACAATCAGGTTTACTGAGTTAGGATTAATTGTGCCTTAAAAAGGGAAGTGCTAAATCTCCAACTGAAAAGAAAGTCATCCAAAACAAAAGAAAAAATACTTAAGTGTTTTCTCTGAAGCTGTTTATGATCATTCTGCATTTGAAAAGTTCTGTGCAATTCTCCCCTACAGATCTTCAGTGGGGCTATTTCATAAGAGACACTGTTTGATTTTACCTGTTACTGATGGAAATTCTCTTTCTTATTCACTTTCCCAGGTACTTCTCCAAAGGTTTGACCAAAACCAGATTAGTAAACTGTCTCACTGCACAATATTAAAGCATTAATTTTTCTAAGGGCATGCGTAACACTCATGATATAAATGTCTGAAATCTACCCGCGAGTAACTATAGTAGTAGCATACTAGCTTTTTTACAATCATGGTCACGAAGAGCATTACAGTTGTAGAAAAGAATCTGAATAAAATTCAAGTTTCCTGACTTTACTTCACTTCTAAGGAAAGACATAAAAATCTCTTCTGATTGTCACACAGAAGTGTAAATGTGGACAAATACGTACAAACACCATAGTGTGTATCGCCTGCTGCTGCTAGGCACTGAGCAGGTACTGATTGACAATGCTGAGTTATAAATTGTGAAGTGAACTTTTGTAGCCCACTTGGTGAATTATACTGCTGCTGCTGCCACCCACTTCAAGTGCTCCTTTGACTTCAGAGAAAAAGTAGTAATTTTGTTTTTTTCCCACAAATTATTTCCTAGAAGTTAGATGTGTTTCAACAAACACTGATCTGTATTACTATCTGCACCTACCAAGCTAAGTGCATTTTAGATTGAGGATATAATTTTTCCCTTTATTTTCCGTTAGTGCTATGAAATTTTAGGTGGCCTTTTTTTAAAATTTAAACAGGAAAACTCCAATGCATCTGATCATGGGCCACCCCTCACCACATCCCATTCCATCCAAGCCAATGAAATGCCACGATGGTCATCCATCCACCCTCCAGTGGGTACCTCAATGATCTGAACAACGGTTGTGATATTTTCGAATTCCACTTTCCATTCAAGGTTAGCTTTTTGCTACTCTCTATATTTTCATCTTTCCTCAGAACATTTGCACATTAGCATAGAGACTGCAGTTTTTGTAGAGCAGTCGCAAGTGCGTACTGCCTCACCAGAGCATGTAGTAGGCTCTTACAGCCAGCCATAAGAACTCACTAGGTGAAAAGGAATTAAACTATTACTCTGCATATGCATTATATATGCAATGCCTTGAAATGCCTAATGCAGTGGCTGTATCACCGGTCAGGGATGGTCCAGATAATACTTAGTCCTACCATGAGTGCAGGGGACTGGACTAGATGACCTCTAGGTCTTGAGGTCCCTTCCAATCCTATGATTCTATGACCAATCATTTCCTAGCTTGTTTTGAAAGGATAGGTATGGGGAAAAAGGAAGAGGTGTGGCACTGTACATCAAGAACATATACACTTGCTCCGAGGTCTAGTGAGCAAACAGACCTACTGAGAGTTTCTGGGTGAGGATAAAAGGCAAAAGAATAGTAGCGATGTTATGGTGGGGGGGGTCTATTGTAGACCACCAAATGAGGAAGAGGAAGTGGATGAGTCATTCTGCAAGCAGGTAACAATTCTATTATTATTCTATTTCATTCTATTAGCTAACACATGAGCTAGTATTAATGTGGATTTTAACTTCCCTGATATCTGTTGGAAGACTATTACAGCACAACTTAATATGTCCTGCAAATTCTTAGCATGTGTAAGGGACAACCTTCTGATTCAGTATTCAGAGAAAGAGAGACAAAAACAGAGAGAAAGAAAGACAACTTTAGAATGCATTAACAGAGGTATACATTGCAAGTCATGGGAGCTGATAGTACACTGCTCTATTTGGTGCTGGTTAGGCCTTAGCTGGAGCACTGTGTCCAGTTTTGCTCACCAATGTACAGAAAGGATGTGGAGAAACTGGAAAGGATCCAGAAGTGAGCAAAGATGATCAAAGGGATGGAATTCAAGCCATATGAGCAAAGGCTGAAGGAACTGGATATATTTAGTAGGGAAAAGAGGAGATTGAAATGTGCCATGATAGTAGTCTTCAAATACCTGAAAGGCTGCCATAAAAAAGATGGAGAAAAGTTGTTCTCCCTTGCCACAGAGGGCAAGACAAGTTCAAACTACAGCATAGCAAAGTTAGATTAAATCTCAGGACAAACTTAACTCTAAGAACAATAGGACAATGGAACAGACTGTCTAGGGAGGTTGTGGAAGCTCCGTTGATGAAGATTTTCAAAAAAGAGGCTGGACAGCCATCTGTCTTGGATGGCTTAGACACAACAAATCCTGCATCTTGGCAGGGGGTTAGACAAGATACATTCCATTCTAACCCAATGATTCTATAAACATTTGTACTAGTTGCCTTTAAAGTCAGCGCAAGGTCTTTGTATTTGTGCAGCTGGATTTGAGTTAATCTACAACAATCTCTCCAATGTGAACAAGCTGCTGCAAGTGTTACTTCTTTACTGGCTCACGCTGTTTCACCTAGTTCCACTCTACAAAATAGCGCCCAACTCTCTGTTTTGGTGCTATAAGATAGGTGCATCAGGGACCAGAGAATATAATGGTACAACCATAGCCATAAGGCAGGCTGAGTATGTATGTGCCAAAATGGCAAAACACCACTACTGGTGTGTGCATGGCAAAACCAATTTATAAAACATTTGCTCAGTCTGCAACACCTTCCTCAGTTAGTATAGACACACCCAAGGACAACCCAGTGATAACAAGAAACCTTACTCCCGGAGAGTAAGGTGAAAAACAAGGCCTACAAAATTAAGCCTAGAACCAACGGAGCCCATTAAATACATGTCAGTGGTCCTGATTTGGCTGGACCATCCCTGAGTTTTGAAATTAGACCAAGAACAGGATTTAATGATGTGGGCTCTTCCATAGGCTAAGATAAGCATCTAAAGGTAAGTCTGCACTGCAATAAAAAGCCCATGGCACTGAGTCTCAGAGCCTGGGTTCGTTGACTTGGGCTTAGGCTGAGGGGCAAAAAAATTACAGAGTAGACATTCAGGCTTGGGCTGGAGCCCAGGCACTGGGGGACCCTACGGGTTCCAGGGCCGAGGGTCTAGCCTAAGCCTAATATCTACACTCAATATTTAGCCCCACAGCCCAAGCCCAAGTCAGATAACCTGGACCAGCTGAGGCTATGCTGCAGGTCTTTTATTGCAGTGTAGACGTACCTTAAGTGTCTGAATGCTTTTAGAAGCCATAAGTCATTGAATATATGATTCACCAGAATGCATACACCCCCAAACTTCCATAGCCCCCAGGCCCCAGCTTAGGTGGAGAATGATCTCAACATTGGCAAGTATGTAACTGGTGACACACTGTCAAGAACATAGCAATATAATGGGCTACTACAGCTCTTTGGACAGAGTCCTCACATCAGAGTAGAGAACTGCCACTTCCAGAAAAGCAAAGATTAAGAGATTCAATCTAGTAGAACATAGTGAACAATCACCTCTGTAGCACTTTTCATCCATCAACCACAAAAGGCTTTCCAGGGGAGGATAAGCACTTGTGCTCAATATGTGTGTGGAAACCGACACAGTGCCACAGAACCAGTGTGGTGCTCTATCTATTGGACCACACCTTTTCCCTCAAATACTAGTTCTATATATAGTTGAATATTTGAATTTTTTTCCAGCAAGCTGAATGGGGATTTGTTTTTGCTTTGTTTTTCAATATTCTACTTGCTCTGTTGCCAGGTTAAAGTAATATTTTAATAAAAGACCAAACAAAATTAATAACTTATAATATTACCAATAGGTTTTTAAAATTCAGGTTTACTGTTCACTACTTATGTTTCCTGTTTAGTTTTGTATTCACCAGCTTTGAAAATGAAAATAATTAGCAAAAATTTTCAATATCTGTCTTGCAAACACAGCAGAACCTTCATTTTAAAAAGTTGGAATCTTTATAACACTTTTGTTTTAATCTTATTTTTACAAAACCTTAATTCTGATTTAACCTAAACAGGTTGAAGTAAAAGTGTTCTTCAGTGTGTGAAAGCAGCTGTAGGAATCAAAAGTGCTGGCTCCAGGAGGGGGCTGAGGGTTGTGGTATGGCCTCCTGCCGGGCAGGACTTACCTCCGGCGGCTCCTGGTTGGTGGTAGGCACAGCGAGGCAAAGGCAGGCTCCCGGGCTACCCCAGCCCCACACTGCTCCCGGAAGGGGCCAATGTGCCCCTGTGGGGGAGGGAGAGGAGAACGTGGCTCCATGTGCTGCCCCTCTTTGCAAGCTCCTGGGCAGTGGGAGCTGTGGGGGCAGTGCTTGCAGGCAGGAGCAGAGCGAGACCCCTGCCTCCCCTCCCCCGGCTCACAGGGCCACGCTGGCCGCTTCTGGGAGCGGCATGGGGCTGGGGTAGGGAGTCTGCCTTAGCAGCAGCCACGCTACACCACTGGAGATCTCGATCGACTGGTTGGTGACCACTGGCATAGATGAACCGAACATGATCACAAAGGACAGTATGGTTCGAAGTGATCAGAATAAACCTTACAATGGAGCAAGTCTTGGTAAGAACAATACAGAACTTGGACCAGTTTTAAAGAAAATGGGAAACAATTGGCTATTTCAAAATAAAATATACCAACACTGTATAGTTTTAAAACCATTTGATACTATAATACAGGTATAATGTGCTCCTTGGGTAGATATAGGTGTATTATTGAAAGCATTATATACATTTACAATATGTTTATTTAAAAACAAACAAACATGGAATAGTTAAATATTGAGGGAGACAAAACATGGACTAGTAAATGTTAAAGTGATACTGACTTCAGACACTTAAGAAATTAAAGCATAATGATGTGTTTGGTACTGTACAAGGCATAAATATAAGAATCCCTGACCTGAAGGGTTCTATGACAGCTTTGCCTGTTTGATTCCCATAATGAAGAAGGTATAGCCATTTATGACCTGCATGAGTAATTTACCAGTGTTTCTAAAGATGTTGCACCTGTCAGTTTGATACTGTTTTAAATGTCAGAGTAAACATGTGACATCCACTTGATGTTTTTCCAGTGTAGAACTAAAACTTATCAGTATTAGGAATTCAGAAACTTCCTGTCTATGTTGCGGAGATTTTCCCCAAAATTCAAACAGGATAAAAAACAGTTCAACTGAACGAATTATAAATCCAGTTGGTGACCTAGTGTGGGCAAGGTTTTTGGGCAACTTGAAACATTTTTACTGAAACAATTTAGTGAAATTGTTTTAAAAACTGGTTAGAAACTTTCCTAGTATAGACGGTGCTTCAAGGCTAGATGTTCTATGTGCTCTCAGTTCCCACTGAAGTCAGTTGAGGACACTCAGCACCTTACAGAGTTAAGGTTTCAGCAATGATTGGAAGAACCAGGACACTTTTGATTGCAAAGCTACCTATGATTTCCATTAAAATCCTGGGACTGATTGCTCTGGATGAATTATGAAAGCTAGAAACTCATCAGGATACAATGCTAGTTTAATTTCTTCTCCATTTATATTGATACCTATAATTTACTGAAAGGATCTTATGGTAATAACTAATTCAGCTATTGCTAAAATCAGGGGAAAAAAGGGTATAGTGGGCACACTTGTCCCTTAATTTTGCTTAAGATAAATTTCTTTATATTTTGTTAGGTGCTAAGAGGGCCTAAGTGAGGGGACCATCAAAAATCACTGTGCCAGGAGAAGCTTTTAAAAATGAGACAGAGCTACTAAATTCAGTTGATCTCTGGAGAGAAATTACAGCCACATATTTAGCACTTTCAGTACCCTGTAAATAAGCAAAAATAGCTCCATGTGACAAGAGCATATCCTCAACATTATTAGCTGAATGTTCTCTTCACCAAAACAAATACAATGGAACTCGTATATTTGTTAAAAGAATAAAGTCACTACATATTTCTACTGTTACTCCCATCTTAAAGGTAATATTTAGCTTGGCAAACACCATGTGTGTCTATTACTACTGTGACAGTGAAACCCACATAAACACCTATTGAAAAAGAAAACTATAAATGTTTGCACTTCACCAGTGTTTTCATACCATATCTCTGTTGCAGACAATTCAAACCTTCAGATACAAGATACCAAGCATTTTACATAACTGATATTACATTGCTAAATATTATCCATTTTTAACCAAACATAGGTGGTTTCTAATTAGAGGCAAGTAAATGGTATTGAACATCCAAAGCCTAAATTAATGTTAGTTAAAATTCATCAGCCAATCAAATGAAGGTTTATAGAAATAGTTTGGAAGAAAGGAAAACAGTCCAATAAAGATTAAAAAAATAAGCTACTCTATTACAAATTAAAAAGAAAGATACCAGTTTATCAAGTTGTCCTTGATTTTACTGAACATTTACATACACTGCCTGGTACGTACCATAGAAAAACTGCCAATAATGAATCCTTCAGAAATTAGTGTGAATTAAACATTTCACAAACCAGACAATGGCCAAAATTCTAACATACTCTTTAACACATTCTTACCTTATCATTGGTGTCCAACACAATTGTGCTGTGCCTCCACTTTGTTAAAACAATTGGTTCTTGTAGCTTCCTGTCCAGACTCCTACTCTTAATTATTTCTCTTTGCTGCTGTGGTGAAGCATTATACTAAAGAAGAGAAAAATCACACTATCAACAGGGTCAAATTTATACTAACATAAAACCCAGATTATTCATCTGTATATTTTCCAACAGCACAATTTTTTATAACATCACTGATTCAGCCATGAAACTGCAAACAATAGCCTTTTTTTTTTAACCCTATGTCTTGAAAGCTAAATTGTCTGGTGCTGTTTTCTGCAGAGGTAAACATGAACTAGCCTGATGTGATCGTGCATTGTACTGTCATCCAGGTTTGAGATTTCTGGTCCCAAATTCTTACTGCCTGCATCTGTAGGCACTGGGAATGCCACCAAAGCACTACAGTGTTATCAGCCACTCTTCAAAGTGGAACTAACATTGGATTTAGATCTTTACTATCCACACTGGGAAGTGTTAAGAGCACCACAAACAGTTGTATAAAAGGGGTGTGTCATGTCACCCTATTGTGATACCTCTGGATCAAGAACTATGATAACATCTGAGGGTGTACCGTCCAACCCTATTTGGCCAGAAAGCTGGTTCGTGGGGGAAGAAAGGAGACACTGTAGGGTAGTCTATTCTGATAGAGAAATTCCTGTCTCCTAGTGGTGGTAATGCAATAACTTTTCTTCCTAGACCAGATTTATGCTACATTTAAACACAAAGAAGGATATATTTAAGAGTAAAAAGTTGCAATTTAGTTTAATATCCGACAGTATCCAAAGATGCATGACTTAGAGAAAGGCATGAAGTCTATAAACGGGGCCATGCATATTCTGTATAATACTAGCCCTAAATTTTGCAGCAAGACTATCATCTCTGGCATGGTAGCACTAAGTTATCAAGTGCACAGAAATTCATGTAGCATCCAAGTAAGTTAAAAAACATTCCAAACAAAGCTTTTTATTGAATATACAAAACAGCAAAGACAAATTTTAACAAAAATCTTGTCTGGGATTTCTTTCTGGGGTAATGCTAAAGTCGCAAAACCTGTGCTTTGGAACACACTGGACAACTACGATTGTACTTGTTGATTCATTACACAAGGGATTGTAATCCGCTGGGCAAGGCCTATGACAGAAGCAGGACACCAGAGTTATTAAAATGTAAAAAGGGGATGATGACACTAACCTCAATCGTAAAGTGCTTTAAGACCTACTGATGAAAAGTGTTATTTAAGAGCTAGGAATTATTATTCTCAAATTTGCCACTGACTCATTATGGTGACATATCGCAAGTCACAACCTCTTAATGCCTCAGTTTTTCCATGCATAAAATGGGAATAAGGCATACTGATACTTATGAAGCACTTAGAGATCTACTAATGAAAAGTTAGATGAATGTAATGAATTAACATCCTGAGCTGCACCACGCTCCAATAAAGGGTCAACACTGCTACTACCATGGCAGATACCATGTTTATGTTTGCAGCTTTTCATTTTATTGTATATAGGATTCATGCTTCAACAAAAGATGTAAAAAAAAAAAACTGATTTTTCATGTCTTACTGAAATATTTCAACATGCATCATAGGAACGAATCACTCCAAATGGAGAACCTCATGCTAAAAAGAATAAAATTTGGTAACTGTGTCTACGACAGATTTATAAGTCTCCTATACTAGTAAGAATTATTTCAGATTGAGAACGCAGAGCCATATTTATGTATCATGGATTCAGTACACATTTGCATGACAATTGTAACAAGTACAGTAAAATAGTGAAGTGTGTGTGGCTCTCACAATTTGTTCCCCTGTCAAATGAGAGCTGAACGGTCAGCCATTTAGTCTTTCAAAAGTGTTTTTCCTCCATGTGTGCTGGAGTGCATCTAATCTCTTGGTTACTTCCTTACCAGGGAAATATCTACTTCGCAGCTATCTAGTCCACAGCAGCACTCTCACAATTCACAGTATATCAGCAGCTAAGCATTATTTAGAAACCTGGCCCATATTACAACTAAAAACTGAACTGTTTGCTATGGGACCATGCTTACAGTTAACTCAACTTCTAGGAAGCAAACAGTGTTCTCTAAAGCACTTAAAGCAATTTAAGGAATGTATAGGCTGAAAACGTATTAGCTATTTATTTCCTGCTACGGAAAAATGGGGTTACTACTTAATTTGGTAATATTATCCAGCATCATTGTGAATTTATGGCAGTCTGTGTATGCTTCTGTATTTGATGGTTTTATTTTTAATATGCTTTTAGAATACTGCACAAGTTCAGAGTCCAGGATAAGTGCTTTGAATTCCACTGAAATAAAAATTAAAATGTATTATTTTAAAATAAATGTTAAATTTGTAAAATATGCAGGGCCTAACTGTACATGATCTATAATCAAAGGCGCCACTGGTACCATCACAAACCATGAGGAGACTTTACTTAATAGGACAGACAAGTCCATGTTGAAGGAGAAGGAACCTGTAAGGCAATATAAAACCTAGGTTTCAAATGTTTCTGCCAAAAAAGCAGAAGACAGAGACAGAGGTCAGGTATGAAAGTCTGATGACAGCCTTGTTAACATTCAGTGACAATAAGCAGTGCTGCTTAGCAGCTTAAATACTTTGCATTGCTAATGTAAACAGTGTTAATATACCCTGTAAATTTTCTGAGAGAACATTTGCCATTTTTCTATTTTCTCACATTGCAGGTGTCAAATAAACATCTTTACACTTGAATGTTTAAAGATTGTTTTCATTTCCTCTTCATTGCACAATACACCTCAAAAATAGTGGAAACAATAAAATGAGGATAAAGCTGGTATATTTCTAGGCTAGAGATAAACCCTAGACTTTAAAAGTACAGGAAAACCATCTATTTACTTTAAGACTTATTGCTGTCAAGTCATTTTTCTGAATCTACTAACAGAAACAACGGTCTCCCATGTGACATGCTTTCAGGCAAGATTCTTTATTAATACTTAATGCTGCCTTCAGAAGTCATTTGACATAGTCTAGGCACTTCTGAAAAGTATGTTAATTTCTTCTCTATAAAAGTAAATGACTGGCTTTTTTCTTTTTTAAACATCCCAGCATAGAATGTATGTAGTTTACATGAATTCCATCACCAAATAGATCAACCTCCTTCTTCTTGTTGTCTATACAGTTATGCTTATCGACCTGACCATTGTTAATTAGTCTTTGGAACTGGCAACAAGCAAGGATCATTTATAAGGTTAAAGTAGGCATGTCCAAGATTATGGATATTCTGTTGCTACTGATTAAGTGGGTTTTAGCCCATGAAAGCTTATGCCCAAATAAATTTGTTAGTCTCTGAGGTGCCACAAGGACTCCTCACTTTTGTTGGTACTCTGTAACCAGAGGACTAATACTTAAGAATGAGCTTGAAGGTTAAAGCTCATGTTTAGGGCATACAATAAATTGATCAACTCAGGAGGTTAAAAAAGTATCGTACTATCGTCCCCATTTATAACTAGATGATGAAGGGGGCTCCAAGCTTTTCACAGGGTGTAACATTCTTAATTGAGATTACTAAGATCACTATTGTCCCCTCCCAATCACAGTCACATTACATCACTGTGACAACTACAGCAATATATTTACATGAAAGAATTATGATCAAGTACCTTTACATTTTAATGCACTTCATCAACAAAAAACGAGAAGAGCCAGCACCCTGTGACAAGCCAGGTCTCTGAACCATCAGCAAGTGCTCCATGGACCAAAGTTTGGGAACCACTAGATAGCTATAGTATAGGTATTGTGACAAAGTTCCTCCTCCGCCTTGGTGGGTCCTGTGCTTATTGGTGGATTTGCTCGCCTCAGAGGTTCACAGCAGCCCTCAGTTTGGCCACTTTCGTGGCTCAAATCTGCCATTCACTCAGTTAGCCTCATCACTGGCCAGCATGGGGAAAAGGAAGAAGAGCAATCCCCGCAGTCTCAGGCCAGGGACCTTCCCCTCTGGTGGAACCCACAGTCCAGGTCAACTCCTCCAGTATCAAGCAGGGAGTTGAGGGGATGGAGGAATGGGGGGAACCTGGGCCCGTCCTCTACTCCGGGTTCCAGCCCAGGGCCCTGTGGATTGCAGCTGTCTACAGTGGCTCCTCTAACAGCTGTGTAACAGCTACAACTCCCTGGGCTACTTCCCCATGGCCTCCTCCCAACACCTTCTTTATTCTCACCACAGGACCTTCCTCCTGACATCTGATAATGCTTGTACTTCTCAGCCTTCCAGTAGTACGCCTTCTCACTCTCAGCTTCTTGTGCCTCCTGCTCCCAGCTCCTCGCACGCACCACAAACTGAAGTGAGCTCTTTTTTAAACCCAGGTGCCCTGAATAGCCTGCCTGTCTTAATTGATTCTGGCAGTTTCTTGACTGGCTGCAGGTGTTCTAATCAGCCTGTCTGCCTTAATTGTTTCCAGAAAGTTCCTGATCGTTCTGGAACCTTCCCTGTTACCTTACCCAGGGAAACGGGACCTACTTAACGTGGGGCTAATGTATCTGCCGTCTGTCACTCTCCCGTAGCCATCTGGCCTGACCCTGTCACAAAAAGCATAATAGTTTTCTTAATTCTAAAGCTTTATATACTGCTTGCTGCAAGAAGTAGACTTGATGAACCAACTGATTTGGTAATGCAAATTCTGTGTGCTTATGCTACAATCAATTTGAGGCAGGTTCCACCCAAAACTGAAATCTTATGCCATTACATAAAAACCACCACAGAACACCATCTCAATTTATCCTACTTTTCGCCATCAGTTTCCCTACACCTTCATGGAGATAGTAAACACAATTTTCATGACTAGGTAGGAATTCTCAGTCTAACTACTGTATTGACATGGCCTTAATGTATATACACCGTACAGAACTGCAGCAGCGCAGCTGTATCGATACAGTTCTCCAATCAGCATAAAAAAACCTCTGCGAGCAGCAGAAGCTATGTTGGTGGAAGAAGCTCTTACACCGGTGTAATTTTTGTGGCTCAGTGGGGTGGTTTATTCACACCCCCGAGTGACAAATTATGCTAGTGCAAGCTGTAGAGTAGACAAAGCCTAAAAGTAACCCGGCC